GATGACATGTCTCTACTAGCTCTAGCTTTTGGTTAATTGCAGACATTATGAATAAGAAACCACGACTAGCCTGGGAGCTGTACCTGAAGATGGAAACCTCAGGAGAGTCTTTCAGCCTTTTGCAACTAATTGCAAACGACTGCTACAAAGTGAGCCCCCCTCTCTTCCCCTCCCATCATTAGTTATTAGTATCAGTTATTACCCCCTAAGAGACTACTGAATTTTTTTAATGAACTGAATATTTCCAGCCCTTGGAAAGCTGGAACATTTTGCCTGCAAAAGCATATACTTTACCTCTGAGCAAAATTCATTCCCTATATTAGTAGTGAATATAAATTTTAATTCTAAGATTTAAGAAACAAGCACAACAGTGTTATTTGGAAAGCAAACTTCATTCACTAGCATGCTTCACTAGGTATCTAAAGTATTTCAAGCTAAGCCAATAAAAGTTTCTTAACTTAGGCTTGTTCTTTTACTGCTGTTTTCAAGTCAACTAGCATTATGATGAATACATTAGTGCAGCTAGATCTCGAGGAGTGTTTAGAACTGTTTGTGCAATTGGCAGATTATTTAGTTGGAGGCATTGTGCTCCCTTCTGTGTATGATTTAAGTGTTTCTTTACAGTAGTGTTTTAACACAATATGATTTTCATAACTTGCCTGTTTATAAAATTGGAGTGTGCCTGATCCCCTGATTGGGATCAGAAAATTTCCCCTGGCTCCTGTTATTTGTTCTTCTTATGAATGGCTGTATTATTTTATATTTCTGATGTAAGATTGGTGCCTTGAGCATGTAACTTTCTTTCCTGTACAGATGGGCCAGTTTTACTATTCTGCAAAAGCATTTGATGTTCTGGAAAGACTGGATCCTAACCCTGAATACTGGGAAGGCAAAAGGGGTGCTTGTGTGGGCATCTTCCAGATGATCATAGCTGGCAGAGAACCCAAGTATGTACACTGATTTTCTCTGTACTACTTTGGGGTCAGTGCCCTGGATTCTTACACTCTTCTAGCTCACTGTTAAATGTTTATGGCAGGGGCAGGGAACCTTCCTCATCCTGAGGGCCACATTCCTTCTGGGCAACCTTTTTGGGGGCTACGTGCTAGTGGTGGGTGGGGTCCAGGGCAAAAGTGGGCAGAACAAATGTAAAACTTACCTTTGTATAGTATGATAGTTTCTACACGCACTTGCACACCCCTTTCCACCCTCCATTCAGACAAGCAAAATGTATTGAGGGAGCTCAAGGACACATCCCAGTCAGGCAAAAACACTTGGGGTGTGAAGCTGGGCCAGTTAGGGTTGTGACCTGCCTAGGGTTATGAGGGCCAGATAGGGAGGCCTAGATGGCCTCATTTCGCCCCTGGGTTCTCTACCCTGGTTTATAGGAACAGAAGGATGAAGGTGCAGTCCTTTTCAGTTAAAAAGTCCTAATAACTGATATATTGTGTATTGGGAGCTTCATCTGCTTCCTTTAGTCCTGCTGTTGAAAAAACAACATCGATACAACTGAAATAAAAGGAGGAATTACCAAGAGATAAAAAAAGAAAAATGTGCAGTAAATAATCATTTTTAAGAAAGCTTAAACATTAGAGGTTCACCTCAATAAGGCCAATATAAAGAGACACAGGGATAAGCAGTTTTTGTGCAATGGGACACATACTTTCCAAAGCAATTTGGATACAAAATTTGTGGTATCCGACAGTGTTGCTCAGCTGATGGAAGGGCTTCTATCAGCAGAGCAGGGAGGGGAATAGTTTTCAGCCATGTGCCTCTACCGCCCAGAGTGCATTTAAGAAGCTGCAGGGAAGAAGGGCAATTGCTGAAAACTTCTTCACTCGCTGTTTTGCTGACAGAACTCTTACCATCTGCTGAGTGGCACTTTGCAAAATAATCCTTTCTCTTTCAGACTTGTCCTCATTTTTATTTACATCTTTGTCTTTTCTGTCTTCAGAGATACCCTAAGGGAGGTGTTACATCTCTTGAGGAGCACGGGTAACCCGCAGGTAGAGTACATAGTTCGTATAATGAAGAAGTGGGCCAAGGAAAACAGAGTGCCCCTGTAAACCAACATCACCAAAATAATAGAAGTAACTGCCATCTGTGATGTGCCTGACTGGAATATTTGTGGCATCTTCTAGCCTAATACCAGCATTATGCAGACTGTAACAATGCAAAATATTCAGAATAGATATTTATTTTTATATTGATAATTCTTTTTTAAATTTAAACTGTATGTATTGCATATATTTGTGGGAAGAATATGTGACTTTAGTTATGCAACATCTTCCGAGTTCCATTTTTTTTTGTACTGCAATTGCTAGTTTTTAACTGTTCACGCTATCTTCAGTCCACGGGTTGTTCTAGTTTTGTATATTCAACAATGCACTGTGTTGGTACTGTACTGAGACTGTTCAAGAACTGGCCTGTGCTGCACACAGATGGACTCTAGTCTCATTGTATCACTTCTCAAAGCAAAATACAAAATTAACTCAATAATACTCAGCATTTCATATTAATACTCTTGGAGCTTGTTTGTACGTTAACACTAAGCCAAATCATGGCCTCACTCTGGATATTGCAGCAGCAAGACAAGAGGGAGGAACAAAGGAGCTGTGATTTTCACTCTGGGTACATGCATTATTGTTCTAAGTCATAGCTTGGTTTAGTGTGGTTTGTGATCCGAGCCCTGGTCAGTCATTACAAACAATATATTTCTGAATTGTAACAAAACCCCAGCATATGATAGGATGTCTTTGACTTCAGATGTACTTTTAATTACCAAGGCCTCTTGCATATTGTGAGGCACCTTTTGCAGAGAATAGCTGAATCATATGCTGTTCACTTCTTTATCTGGTTCCACAGGGAGGTTTTATCAATTGATTTAAGAAAGATTGTTAGCTCATGCTATCTACAATTAACATGCTAATCTGAAAGGTACCTACCTTTTCCTGCAAATGTTTGCAATTAGTTTGAGGGATTAGGGGAATTGCTTTCAGATTTTACTCCTGAAAACAAGATTTTGAAGAGACACAAAAGAACATATATTGAAAAAACCACATTAAATATGCATTGCACACTTGTACAGTTTTTATGTATGTAGTTCAAAATTATTTTTATGCTTCTAACTTTTTAAAAAAATGTTTGTATGCCCCAAATTTTAATTCTCGGGTAAAATCCCAAAGAAATAAACTTAGAGAGTAACTCATTATGCATTTTTAAGTACCTTATAAAAATAGATAATTTGTTCTCTTGTGAATGTGACTAAAATGAATACTGTATGGTATGTGTGGTTATGACTTAATATTATGGATCTTAATTTAAATATAAAATATGCAAGATACAGCTACAGGTAATGTGTTTGCGCTTTGCAACTGTAACTCTGAAATACACAATTGAAAATTTGTAATTGAGTAAATTTGCATCAAAGCCTGCTGGAAACAAGAATCAAAATTGGCTGGTCTGTCTCCATCTTTCTGTGAAATACACAGGCTGGTGAAAAATGGGAATCAATAGAAAACTAGGCAGTCCTGAGAAATTTGGAAACCAATTTTAGGTATAAATTATTATTTTTTTCTAGGCAAAAAGTCAATAGATTGGGTAGCTGAATTGTTGGAAAATTCAGAACAGAAAAAGGGTGCACTTCTTCATATACAGTAGTACATAGTTTAAACCTGTTATTTGCCCCCAACTTGGATGTCTTTAAAATGGGATTAAATTACTGGAGGATAAGGCTTTCAGTGGTGACTAGTTATGATGGCTGTGTAATACATCCAGTATTGCAGGTGGTATGCCTCTGAATACAGCAAGTGGGGAGTGGGCTGTTAAATTCATATCCTGCTTAACAAACATCTGGTTGGCCATTGTAATATGAGGCTTTGGTCTGATCAAGTGGGACTTTTATGTTACTTTAATGTGTTTTTCTTGGCCTGCCACCACCAAAATATGTCTGCTCTTTGGGGACAGAAACGTTTTGGAGGTAGATGAGGATCCCAAACTCAGGGTTAGCCACATATTTTTTTCATTCCAAAATATGGGGTGCCACATATCATACTGTTTCTAGAGATAGGAACAGCACTGAGAATTTGGAGTTCATAAAGTGCATTAAACTGGTCCTGGGAGGTTGCAGGTGAGTGATAAGCCCAAATTTCCACCTGCTCTTCTACGAGTCTCAACGGAAATTCAGTGAAGAAGTGAAAGCACTTCAGTGGCGCTGTTGTGCAGAGATTGCTTAAGAGGTAACACGGTTGTGGAAGATCTTCAAAGGTCTATTTCATCTACTTAAAACAGCTGCATCACAAAAAATTCATGTGCAAGTATTTTCCCATATTCACATTTTTATTCGTGACGATTAGTATCTGGCAATGAGCTGCTTTCGATAATCACCTCCTTATACACGAGTTACTAAGATCTGAACCGACCCCCAAATGTATACGACTTTCTCGTTACAGTAGTTGCGAAACGAAAAAGAGATGTTCTTATGTCAGAAATGGTCATGCGTGGTTGTATCCTCTCGGAAGTTGCTGCCCACATCGCGCTTGCTCCGTGCTTCTGGGCCGTTTAAAATTCCAGCCGTGGGCGTGGCGGACGAGCTAAATCGCGGGGGGAAGAGAAGATCCCTGGGTAGCAGCCCACGTCCATTCAAAGCGAAGTTCGACTCCTGCCCCTTTAAGAATCTTACGGTAGAGCAGCGTGCATATTTCCAAGGCAACTATGGGCGGGGTTCCAGCGTCTTCAACGTGCGATCGCGGTGACGTCCTGAAAACCTGAGCAATAACAACAGTGACGTGCGGCGGCGCGTCCGTGGCGGTCCCGCTTTTGCGCATGCGTGCCCTAGTGGCCTGCTTCTATTTACGTGGGGGGGCTCCAAGATGGCGGCGGTGTTAGCAGCGAGGAGATCCTAGTGAGGAAGGGGGGGGGAGGTACCCTGACCCGGTTAAGGGGAGGGAACGGGCGGAGGAGGAGCCGGAGTTGTGGGTGGTGAGGGAGGGTCACCGAACAGGTGGGAAGGGGGGGTGGGGGGGTTAGATGATGGCGGAGCCGCGCCGGGTGCCGTTAATTAGTTTGTCACCCGTGAGGCGACGAGAAGGCGAGACTCCGGTGCTCGAGCGAGAGCCTGGAGGGGGTCGCGAGGCGGAGCAGCCATTGGTGTGTGAGGCCCTGAAACTGCCAGAACAGCCGCAGCACCACCACCACCACCTCCACCACGATAGTGGCCGAGCAGAGCCTCCACCGCAGCCCTTCGAGTCCTGCTCCCGGCTGGAGTTACAGTCGGCGGTGTTACCGCGCGAGGTCAGCCGGCCTGAGCAGACGCCGAAGCCGCTGCTGCCACCTCAGCGTGAGCCTCCAAGGCCAGAGCCGCCGCCGCCGCCGCCTCCGTCGAACCAGCCGTTGCAGCTCGAGAGCAACCGGCAAGAGTCGCCGCCGTCGCCCCCGCGTCAGACGGTTCGCCTGGAGTTGGTGCTGAAGGACCCCACCGAGGAGAGCTGTGTGGAGTTCAGCTATCCCGAGCTGCTGTTGTGTGGCGAGCCCCGGGTACGGGACCTGCTAACCAAATTCCTCCCTCTCCATCTTGACTCCTATTTATTACTCTTGTCCCTTAGCTTGAGCGCTGTGTGAACGAAACGAATGATGGGGAAATGAAAGCGCTTGCTCGGAAGAGCCTATGTGGATATAAGCTTAAACCCTGCTAGATTTACCCTGTCAAATGATAGTGACCATGTAGGAACAAGGTTTTTTTGCTGTGTGACCCTTTGATCCAAATCATAGTCCAAAGAAATCCATCAGTTGGCATATTGACCTGTGTGAGGCTCAAATATACTTATATTGCCGGGGCAGCTCCCAGGGTGCACGCATTTTATTTAATTTGTCTTCAGTTAATTCTTTTAGAAACATTATTCACCTGCATTACATAAATTATCTGTTCTATTATCTGGTGTTTGTGAGCATTTCACCATGGGACTTATCCAGAGTGTTCATTCAACCTTGCCACCTTTGTGGTGCCAGGGCACAGTCATAGAATTGTAGAGTTGGAAGGGATCCTGAGGGTCATCTAGTTCAACCCCCTGCTATGCAGGAATCTTTTGCCCAATGTAGGGCTTGAACCCATGACCCTGAAGAGTAAGAGTCTCAGACTGTAACGACTGAGCTATAAGAAGCTGCCCTACATGAACCTAGCTGCATGGCTGTGCCAGGGTACCATAGTCTGTGTAGGAAGTGGTGACCATGTACAAAACTGAACCCAGTATAGGTTCTTGTACTTCAAACTGTACACAGGTCAGGAAGTTCCCTTGTTATAAGCCCATAGAATGGCTTAAATTTGTGAGAATAGCCTAATTTGTTAAAACTAGTTGTAAACAGCTAAAGTGGCTAAGGAGAAAGTAAGCCAGTATATATTAAGGCTAATTACTTGGTTGTAACTATTAAATATATTGGTGACAAGTTAGTTATAACATTTTAAAACACCTTGCTTTAGACTTCAGAGTCTGGTGTAGCTTAGATATCAGGCTTACTCTTACAATTCTGTAGGAGGCTGATAGCATTGAGGGTTAGTGTACTTGTTCTTGCAAGAAAGGGTGACAGAATTTTTAGCGTTGCATAAAAAATTGAATTACAGTCACATTTGACTGTTATGAAATAGACCAATATATGAAGATATTCTGACTCTGTTGCTTTGCAATTTAGAGAAACTTGTCTAAGGAAAATATTTTTGTAAAGTTCCAGCTAAAATTGGCAGGGCTACTAGGCTGAATTACCTACATGAGTTCCATAAAATTATCTAATTACTTTTCTCTGGAGTTCTCAAAGCGTTGATGCTAGATAAAACACTGACATGACCAGTCCATTGGAAGGAATGGTGGCATTTCTTCTTCCTAAACAGAGAATAATTACAGTTAATCACTGTACTGCTGGTAATTTGTCTATAAGAAGCTATTGTGTGTCTATAATGGTTATACTGCTGGTAATTTGTCCATACGAAGCTGAGCTGTTCTCTGCATTTGGTTTGGTGTCCAGTGCAGATTTGGGTTCTTTAAATGGCTCATTATGGTTCCTTCTCTAAGACTTAAAGTGGAATATTTTGGAGACAGTGAATGTTGAGTTCTACAAGCGGTGTTGTAGCCTTATCTACAGAAATGCAGGGTTTGTGCAGTTCTGAGAAATGGATAAAAGCTGTGGATAATTCACAATCCTTATTACACTGAGGAACATCTAATAGCTAGTTGAGACATTTCTTTGGGCCACATTTTCTTCACTCACAGGAAGGTCTATGTGAGTGATGTAATATATAATCCCGGATTTATGAATTGGTCTTGAGTGCAAATTAACTAACAGTGCACAGTGTTAAGATCCTGGGTTGTGTTGTGTTGGCTGCATGAATCTTTCTAGGAGTGAAGAAAATGGATCCTAATTCAAGATTAAATTGTGTTTAGGATGTGTTGCTAAATATCTGAGCTGTAGTACCTTCAGCTCACTAGTTGACCACTGAGAATGTTCACACAGGTGGCTGCTATCAAGAGTAGCCTATGTTTGTATTCCATCACTAGAAAGAATTTGATACTTTTTGTGTTCTCTTTTACAATCTGGTCCTCTTTATACGGATCCTAAGGGTGGCATTGTGCAGTTTTACCAAGTGTACCCCTCTTAACGTTATGGAATATAATCTTATGTGGTCTGAGGAGTAATTTCATGTCCATTTGCCCTTTGCTTCTCTGCTTTTTCACTTGCTTAGTCTTTCACTTGTTTAGTCTTCTTTGTAGGCCCGCATACTTGGAGTATTGCATATTATCATTGAGTGTTTTGTTTAAAAAAATACGCCTGTAATCTGAAATCTTCTCATACAAAGCACATTAAATTGAAACGCCCAGGCAGTGTATAACATATTTTTACCTGAGTGCTTTGCCCAAAAGCTGACTGAAGGTTGTGATTTTTATTTTTAAAAGAGATAATATAAAATGGCGCAGACAATTGTTGTTTGTGGAGGCAGATGCAGGAATGCCCATGAATGATTTTACAGACCACATGTGGGATCACTGGCCATATGCGAACAGCAGAGCTTTGCTCATTGTGAAACAATATTGAATATGTGGAGAGGTTAATGAAATAAACACTTCATTTGTAATTCAGCTAGTTTTATTTCCTTTAAGTACAGCCTTATATTCATAAACATTGTTGAATTTTGTGCAGCTGGATCCACTTATTCTTTTCCTTTTCCACAGTTGTGGGAAGGCAAAGCAAGAGAACACTTGTGGAATTGTGAAATGCCCTACGTAGTATTTAATTGTTTATCACTGGACCATTATGTGCTACGTTAGGTCATGTTAGGAGCGTGCCATGTAGCAAACTATAGGGATTTGGTCACTATGGTTGTGGTCCAACACCCTTATCTGCTAAACCACACAAATGCCATATGTCTGAAAGCACAGCCTTAAGAACACAAGATGACCCTGTCTGGATCAAACGAAAGGCCTACCAAGTCCAACATTTTGTTCCTGCAGCGGCCAATCAGATGCCTATGGGAAGCACACAAGCAGGACATGACTGCCAACAGCCCTCTTCACTCATTTCCCCCAGCAACTGGCATTCAGAGGCATGCTGCCTCTGCGGCTGGAGGTAATAGATAGTCATCATAACAATTAAGCATTGATAGCTGTAGTGGGTGGCGCTGTGGGTTAAAGCCTCAGCGCCTAGGACTTGCCGATCGAAAGGTCGTCGGTTCGAATCCCTGCGGCAGGGTGCGCTCCCGTCGTTCGGTCCCAGCGCCTGCCAACCTAGCAGTTCGAAAGCACCCCCGGGTGCAAGTAGATAAATAGGACCGCTTACTAGCGGGAAGGTAAACGGCGTTCCATGTGCTGCGCTGGCTCGCCAGATGCAGCTTGTCACGCTGGCCACGTGACCCGGAAGTGTCTGCGGACAGCACTGGCTCCCGGCCTATAGAGTGAGATGAGCGCACAACCCTAGAGTCTGGCAAGACTGGCCCGTACGGGCAGGGGTACCTTTACCTTTAGCTGTATCCAATTTGAATGTGTCTAATCCCCTTTTAAAGTCATCCAAGCTAGACGCCATCAGTGCATCTATACTGATGGGGAATTCTATAGTTAAATTGTGTGCTATGCTTCCTTTTGTCTCTTCTGACTCTCACACCATTCAACTTTATTAGATGATCCTGGGTAGTTGCATTTTATGAGAGGGACAAAAACCTCTCCCTGTCTGCTTTCTTGTATACCCATACCCTCCGGTTTTTTCCAAGCTACCATGCCTCTTTTTGTATCTTTTTTTAAAAATAGGATTGCTCTAGCCCCTTGGTTGCCTTTTTTCTGCGTCTTTTCCAACTCTACAATATTCTTTTTGAGGTGTGACCAGAGCAGCACATGATATTCCAAAGGTGGTTGCACCATAAAATTATGAAAGGGTGTTAACGATATTGGCAGTTTTATTTTCATTCCCTTTCCTAATGATTCCCAACATGAAATTTACCTTAAAAATAAAAAAAAAATCAGTGTGGGTACCCAGCCCACAATCCATTCAGTTGAGTGGCTCCCTTGAATGCGTCTAGCCCTGACCATGCTGCAAGGACAGTAAAGTTTATTGACCTTTAATCTTTAAAAATCCATCTGAAATTGATTAGTCTTTTATAGTTGCTTCCTAGATTCTACTGACTATCACAGAGAGCATTTTAGTTTGTAAATAACTTTGACTCACACACTTACAAGACCTTCACCTGCAGCTGCTCTCTTAGAAATATGATCAGGCATAATAACTTGGGGAATGTAGTTTTCAATCGTTCAACCTGTGATGAAACTGAATAAAACCTACAAACTCTCAGGAACTTGTGAATACAGGGAGTAAAGGGACTTCTCATAGTTTTGTTTTGAAAGCTAACATACTTTCTATCTCTACTTAGAATAATGTAGCCTGAATGAAAAATTTGAGCAAGCTATGACATGAAATAGGGATGCGGGTGGAGTTGTGGTCTAAACCACTGAGCCTAGGACTTGCCAGTCGGAAGGTTGGCGGTTCGAATCCCCGCGACGGGGTGAGCTCGCGTTGCTCAGTCCCAGCTCCTGCCAACCTAGCAGTTTGAAAGCACGTCAAAGTGCAAGTAGATAAATAGGTACCGCTCCGGCGGAAAGGTAAATGGTGTTTCCGTGCGCTGCTCTGGTTTCACCAGAAGTGGCTTTGTCATGCTGGCCACATGACCCAGAAAAACTGTCTGCGGACAAACGTCGGCTCCCTCGGCCAGTAAAGCGAGATGAGCGCCGCAACCGCAGGGTCGTTCGCGACTGGACTTAACTGTCTGGGGTCCTTTACCTTTTTTATGACATGAATTTTCTACAAACCGCTAGTTACCAATATTGATATTTTACATTCAAATGAGAATCCTAAGTATGTATGACTTGGATGTTGAATGATGTTGTTGTTAGTCGCTTTATTAAAACAATAATAATTCATAAGTTGACTGCCATCTCACCTGGGAAAAGAGCTTTCAGAAAGCTTTCTCTAGAATGCAAGTTCTAATCTCGACGCCCTTTATCCCAGTTTTGCAATATAACTTATTTTCATTTATAAGAACTTGATTTAAAATTAGCACTTGGGGAAAAACCCAAACCTGTCATCTTTAGAATTATAGTCTCTGTAGCCCAGCTTTTTTGATATTGGATCAGAAGTAATTCTCACTGGCTTTTGGTAAACAATGTGTGCCTGGAGTGCTGTGCACAGCCTCCATGGCACTGCTCTGGAGTAAGAGCAGGGACTTGCATTCTTTCTGTGTGTCTCCTGCCAATAGATGCAGTATTTAGAAATAACATTTGGGAAGCCAGCAGGCGTGTTTAAAGTGACTCTGGATAAGTGTGTGTGTTCTGCAGCAGATGCCCAGTTGTTGCATTTGTTGTGGGTACCAGTTGCTTTACACACAGTAGTCTGTAACCAATGTCTTTTTACCAATGTGGCATTTCTGTCGAGAAATCTCTTATTTGAATTACAGCCTGCCTTTGTAATGAAATAACATAAGGTGGCTTACAAAAATATTAATACATTAAAGATAAAATACAGAATTAAAACTCACAGCAGTTTTACCACTGCCTCCACCTAAACTTTAAGGGCATGTAATGTGAACCCAACCTACGTATCTCTGCCCCACCATGTGGGTAAACTTTTGCACATGTGATAAATTGTGTGGTACAGCAAAGGAACACAAACTGCTCTCTGACTGCAGCAGTGCCCTGTCTTTGAATCAATATTTTCATGCTCTGTGTGTGTATTCTTTGAAAACTTGGGTGCACATCTTTCTTTCTTAAAAACTATTTTTAAAATGCTTTATTGGTTGAAAACTTTATAACAGAAATATGCAATAGATGTTATAGGCAAAATAAGAAATACAAAATAAACAATTATTCTTTCTTTAACTAATACTTGCTTTGTACATCCATTTGTGATTAGATTTGACAAGACCTCCAATCTTCCCCTTGCGTTCCCGAATTAAGTTCCTTAAATACACGCTTAAACTTTACTTTCTCTATGTTATTTGACTTACTATAAATTTTATTTTATAAAATTATCCTACTTACACACTGAAGCTCAATCAAGACCTGCCAACAGATTGATCTTTTGACAGTGTTCTTTTACATATACTCTGTATATATCCCACTCTGATAATTTTTTCTTTCTTAAATACTAAAATGCGACAAAGATAATTCTTAACAACTGGGCTCTCCAAGTGGCACATTATCAACCCCACATATATTATGGGAGGATAGATTACATTGTTGGCACATTATTGTTAGCAGGCAAAGTTCTTTAGATCTCGGTGCTTGGAATGGTTATATATAAAATGAGAGTGCCAGAATTTTACAACAGTATAATTCCTTAGCTCAGTCCTACAGCGAATTATCACCGTGTCCCTACCAAACACATGTGCAATTTGCAACTGCCCCCACCCAATTTCTTGTCCCTCCAACATCCATGACAATTCCACATGACATTACTTTTCCAAATGCTTCTTGCTATAACCTAGTTCTAATTCTTTTTAAAAAACAAAACACTGGGCATTTCTGGAAATGTTTCCCAAGTAGCCTTGTCAAATAGCCATCAAAACTGCTAGTGCATTTAGGTGCTACTTGTAAAGGTACTCATAATTGGGCTGGCACTAAACTAGCCATAGTTTAGTGCTATGTGCACTGAGCTCCCCATTCCTCTCCTTTTCCCACATGGTGGGGTGGGGAGTTCAGCATTTACTTCTAGGTATCATGAATCCTGATTCATTGCATGTGAACTGGGGATCCTGGTTTGAAAGAAACACTTGAGTTGTAAAGCAAGCCATCTTCAGTGGCTTGTCCAACCTGAATTTGTTTCAGCTTTTGTTTCGTTGCCTCTTCAGCCACATATCACTAACCTTTAGAAATGTGAGGAAGAATTATGTAAATTGTTTACATTTATAAACTGTATAGTTCAAAACAATGGATTATCTTTGTTCATGAGCAGATAGGTTTGCTGTTTGACTCTTATCTACCTTGGCTTGTAGAACAGTGTATTTTTCATTATTTTAGATGGTTGCTGCTTTCCTGATTCTGAAGGGCTTCAAAACTCTAGAATACATGCTCTTGTTAAATTAACAGTGACACATTGGTACATTGTTTCTAGAAATATACCTTTTCTGAGGTTTTGTGAGATGGCTTGTAGAAAGTTCTATGAAATATAATTCTTCAGCCCAATTATTTGAGTTCTTGGTCTTCAAAAGATGGTGAAGCATCACCTTTTGCTGAAACTTGTGCCATGATAAATGCAAAAAGTTTTTATATTGTAGTTCTCTGATAGAAAAAGGATAAAAGTACAAGGCAAATGGGTCTTGTAGTGGGTTGGCTACAGATTTGTTATTTTGTAAGAACTATTTTCCCCCCATACTGGAAGCTGGGCTGCTATCAATAGTTTCCTGGTTTGGGTGGAATGAGAAACCATGATTATTTAGAGGCATCCTGGTTTGCTCATGCTGCCACCCTGAGACCTTATGGTGAAGGGCAAGTAAAAAAATCTAATTATCATCATCATGAATAGATTCTGAAAGCTGCCTTAGTTTGTTGAAGGGGAATTCTAACTTTAACCTTTATATGCATGTCAAGCAGAATAGGAAAAGTGACTGATTTACACTGGTTGATTGACTAAGTGAATTTCATAAACAAAATGCTTGAATGTAGAATAAAAGAAAATTGACAATGGAGCTTATTGAACAAATAGACAATTAAATTGCTATTTTTCAGATATTTCATCTTACTGTCTTACTGGTATTTCATTGACAATGAAGTGGTCAAGTTATATCAGATTTAATAAAATGTATGGCTTTGCATTGCTGGCAGCACTCCAACTTCTTTGCCATACGTCATGCTTCTAAATACATATGCTAAGTTGGGAAGGGCAGCTAATTATTCTGATGCCTTGATCTTAGAGACAAATATTTCAAAGCAACTCTTAATGATTCCATTAGAATTTACTTTAAAGTAGGGGTGGCTTGCTTTTTTTCTTTTTTCTTTTTTTCTTTTGCCTGAGGGCAACACTCACTCTCAGCCAGCTCTCTTGGGGGCCAAATGACAGCAGTGGGTGCTGGGGGCCCACATTTTTTCATGTACACTATTGCATTCACATACTATGCTGATACACTTGCACAGTAATATGCTGATACACTTGCACTATACACACACAGAGAGAGAGGGTACATCCACACATTTTACCACCTTTCTGCTTATCAAATAATCAATCTCATAACTGGGGAAGGGCATAATATGTATCCCTGTCAAGGTGCTGGGCTTTGCCCATCGCAGTGCAGAGCCTACTTTAATATTTTTCTTTTTGCTGCCACTGCTAAGACTGGTGGGATCTTGGAGGGTCAGAAAGATTTGGTTGGAGGGTGCAAACTGTGGGTAAGGCATCCCTTCTTTAAAGTTTCTAGTACTGGTGTGTTACAGTGTTAAACTGAACTTGTTGCAAAGGCTGCTTCCTCACCAAAGATGCATTCATAAAATAAACTGTACTGATTCTGTGGCTTCTTTACTCATTTGTATTGTGCATATATGAATTTAAACAATGACTGTGATTTCTGGGGTTTTCTCCTTAGATAAAATCTGCTTTTTCTGAAGATCCATTTAATGATGAAGAGCGTGAGAGGCATGAAGTGGAAATGCTGGCTAAGAAATTGGAAACAAAATACGTGAGTAAACAGATTTATTATGTTGCTCTAAGTCTGGCTGTTCATATTTTATAGGTGTTCTTACTAAAGCCACTTGGTACATTCTGAAGAATTCAGTTTTCTTAATTTATCATATAATTTAGTTCATGGTGTCACATGTGTTATAATACTTAGTTAATATTGTTAGATTTTGGCTGCAGTTCTACTTCTTGATGGAAAGAGGCTACAGAAAGACAACACATGGAACTCCAGTGCCACTGGATACATTACTGTTGTTCTGGGATTACAATGACATGTTGGGCCAGTTGCAATAAACGAAGTCCCCTTTATGCTTACTCCTCCTTGCCCCCAGTTGTTAGACTACCTGCATAGGGAGCAAGATAAGATTGGTGGCTACATATTTCAACAGGGCGTTCTGGAAACTAGAAAGCCTTGGTTTGTTGTGGTTAGACAGGGCGGGTGCTCACCCAGCACAGCAGCCATTTGTTTAGTGCGGATGGCAGCTGAGAGAAAAACAAAACAAAGTCAATTATATTTTTAAATAAGAAATTGTATTGAGAGAATGAACTAATTTAATTCTTCATCATTCTGGGTACTTTTTGTAGAAGAATAAGATATAAATAATATTTGTTATTCAGCATAATCCTACTCATCCATCTCCAGCCACACTACTCTGTATTTAGTCTATCTTAACCTCTAACCTATCATAATCTTTCATAAATGAAATCCTGTCTAGAATGAGGTCACTGAATTGTCATTGTTGAACTGTTAAGCTTGGAATTGTTAACCTGTGACTATAAGAGTTAACTAGTATAAACTTTCATGCCTATATTTTTGTATGAGGATTGTGGATTTTGAGAACTTGAATGCAGCAGCAAGATACATTATTTTCTGCTATACTGTAAATTGCTTGATTGTGTCAGTACTGAAGTAGCACCAAAAGTTTCCCCTGTCCGATGCCCTATAGTGCCTGTGTCTGCCATATATTAACTTGGTTGGCACCAGTACCTCAGTGGTTTCAAGTTGTAAATATTGTGTTGCAGGGTGGAAAGAGCCACAAGCATCGGAAGGACCGTGTTCAGGATCTAATAGACATAGGCTATGGTTATGATGAAACTGATCCTTTCATTGATAATTCAGAGGCTGTGAGTAAAATTTATTTGTTACACTTGTATGCTGCCCTCTTTCAATCATTCCAATCAGTGTTCAGGGGTTTGCCTATGATCACCATTCCAGGCACTAGCAGTTTGCAAACCTTTTTCACTTTAGAGATGAAATTACATCAAATGCCTTCATGCTATTTTAATCTACTTTGTGGAAAGGGGATTAGTTCACATATCAGTTCTCACACAGGTTGCATTTAGCAGTCTGGCTTTAGCCTATATCACAACAATTTACAACATCAGTGTCTAAGAGCAAGGCCTTTATGCTGGGGTTCTGGCCTTTGGAACTAGGCCCAGAAAAAGCAGTTGGCCAGGTCAGGTGCTGGCCAGGGGCCCCTCATTGCTCTGACGCAGCAACACCACCATTCACTGCCCTCCCGGCTGCGCCCCCAGGTGCTTTATAGCAGTACCACTTTTGAATAAGTTCTAAATTTGGTTCCCATCTGTGGTGGCCACCCATCATTTAAAATAACCCAGAATGTAATGCCCTGGCCCATGGATATATGAAATTTATTGAGTTCATAGATCTATAGTCTGGGTCGCACTATAGATCTATGAAAGCTATAGATTTAAGGCTGGGACATTGCATTTTCATTAATTTAAGATAGTGGGATGTCACTATGGATAGGGGCCAAATTTGGCTCCTGTTCAAAAGCACTGCCTCCCATCCATGGCTGAAGCATATATTGGGGTTAGGGGAGGATAGTGAGTGGTGCCGTTGCTGCCCATGGCAGAAAAAGTATGTGACAGCAGTCACTTCTGCTGTCACAAGCAGTTCTGGGTCCTGCCCTCATTGGGGTGGTGTTGGAGTGGCATATTTGGCACTGTGCTGAGCATCCTCAAAGTCTGGCTCTGGTCCTATTTGGAACAATCTGCCAATAGATGTCAGGAAGTGTTCTCTGTCTTCTTTTTGTAAGCAGACCTTTTTATTTCAGCTTGTATTCAGCTGCCTTTGTTTGAGAAGCTATGGCTAAGGTTTACTTACATTTTTTGTTGTAATGGTTTCTATTTATTCTAAAAAAAATTCCTTCCAGTAGCACCTTAAAGACCAACTAAGTTAGTTCTTGGTATGAGCTTTCGTGTGCATGCACGAGTTGGTCTTTAAGGTGCTACTGGAAGGATTTTTTTTTTGTTTTGACTATGGCAGACCAACACGGCTACCTATCTGTAACTGGATCTATTTATTCTGTAGTTCATATAAAAATTATTAAAATAATAAAATTTATCCTTGAGTACCATTGTGTGTTAAAAAGCAGCATATAATGTTTTAAAATAAAATTATCTCCTGGGTCTGAGAGAAAAGCTAAAAGGCAAATGGTTTACACTATATTTTATTTGGAAAGAAATCCTATTGTGTTCAATGGGGCTTGCTGCCTAGGAAGTGTGTTTAGGATTGCAAACTTAGTGTGATGTTTCTAGAATGTGATGTGAGCTAAATCTTGTTAAATGTCAACATTTACCTGTTAAGCATGGAATTATAGTGAGATGGTTAATTTTTATGATTTACCATATGTTCCAGAAACAATTGTGCCACTAATGTTCTTGGACGCTTGCCAATGTGCCCTGGTAAATTATAGAAATTAGGATGGCATTTGATATTAGCTAGAGGCACTTGATGAGGGATCTTGAGATTTTCTGTTTTCCAGCTGGCTTTACAAAACATTGATAATAGATTAATATAAATTTTCACATTTACCCTAATAGCTTTACATTATGTCATGGCTCTGCTATGTTACAGCCAATGTATGTAATGGTTTGAGATTAATCTATTTTTGTATGTGGATATAATGTTGTCAGCACTGCAGTATCTCAGCACTGCCTTCATCCAAATATTATTCTGTTTTTAATATGCTTTGTGAGTTGTACAGTCCTGGCAGTTATTTTCTCCACACTAGTATGGTGTTATTACTGTATTTGGTTAGTTTAATATCCTGTTCATTGTATGGCGGTATAGCAAATGCATTATTTCCATAGTAACAAAATGGTAATGATCTCTTGACCTAAACCTTCTATTTCCTTCCCAGTATGATGAATTGGTACCTGCATCCTTAACTACTAAATATGGAGGGTTTTACATAAACACTGGGACTCTGCAGTTCCGGCAAGCATCTGATTCTGAAGAGGAAGACTTAACAGAAAGCAAAAAAAATAGACCATCTAAAGTGAGTAAATAATTTATTCCAAGAAAAATTTAGAGATGTCACAGGTTTGCTGTGAAGATTTTAAAGCACCTCGCTTATTACGTTGAAGTATTCCAGTTTTCACATTAAAGTAAACATACTATTTAATACAAATACCACCATATTTATGTTCATTTAGCTGGCTGTCTCTATGTCCCCTTGCTTTTGAAGATTCTAAGAAGATGCTTGATGAATGTGTGAAGCTGAATTTACTGAGTCAGATCATTAATCCATCTAGCTCAAAACGGTCTACTCTTAGTAAGAAGCGTGTTTCACAGTTGCTTCCTGAAGTCCTACCATCCAGAAATGCTAGGGATTGAGCCTGAGATCTTCTGCAAGCAAAGCTGAGTTGTAGCCTCTCCCCATTGGATTTTAACTGTTATGAAAAGAAGGTCAAAATCAGCACCTTGAATTGTGCCTAGAAAAGAATAGTGAGTTGGTGCAGATGCTGCAGTGCTGCTGTAATGCAATCTCTGTAACCTACCCATGCGTAACTTTGACTGCAGTCCTATATACACAGAGTCCCACGAAAACTCTGTATTACTTTTGTGTAGACATATATAGGATCACCCTGGAGCTTGCCAATCCTAGGAGGGGTCAGAGAAGCATGAAGTGGTGGATCTTTCACTGTATCTGCAGTCTTGTCAGCTCATGACACCTAAGGCAGGCAGTTGTGTGGAGTTGCAGGCTCATGCAGTACAAAGGCCCAGAGAGGGTTTCTCTCTGAGAAATGGACCTGTTTAAAATGCAACAGATCCATAGACAGCCCACTCTGCCCCATTAACACCCTGTTTCAAGGTCCTCGGCTGGCTGCTGCTGGCAGCAACACTGTAGGTGGTAGTTTGTCCGCTGCACAAGCTTTTGCTGGTGCTTTTGGGGGCCTCACATACTTATTTGCTAGTGGAAGAACGTTCTGTCTAATCCTAGCCCCCTCCAGAAATGCTGATCATGGGCATGGTATTATGCTCTACATATGACAAGTGATTGCTTGTAAAGTGAAGAATAATGATGGAAGGACAAATTGGAGGTAGCTCTTTATCATCTTACCGTACTTGTAAGGTTCCAGAAGCATTTGACTATTGGAAAGATTACATGGATCTTGTTCTGATCCCATAATAAAACACTTACAATCTTAATTCCATAATAGAATGCTATTTCATGATTGAAGTAATGGTGTGCTGCTCTCTCTCTCCCCCCACCCCCCCGCGTTTAGGTAGTTAAACTGAAAGATGGCGAGGACCATGGCCTGAAGAAGCGCAAACGGAAAGAGGAAGAGGCAGAGAAGGAGAAAAAACCTCGGAAGATGAAAGTTTCTCGGCAGATGGGGTGCATATTACACTAATTTTACAAGAGCGTATCCTGGTTTAGTGAATTTATTTATTATTATTTATTGAATTTATGGTATATGCCCCCCTGTACCTGCAGGTCTCAGGGCAGCTCACAGAATAAAATCAGAATATAAAACCACGAAATACATAATCAAAATAAAGACAGCAGCAACCCAACACACAAACACACACATTTTTAAAGGGCATAGGATGTCAATCAAATCTACCAAAAGCCTGGTTAAAAAGGAACGATTTTGCCTGGCACCTAAAGGTGTATAACAAAGGCGCCAGGCAAACTTCCCTAGGGAGAACATTCCACAGACGGGGAGCCACTGCAGAGAAGGCCTGTTCTCTTGTTGTCACCCTCCGGACCTCTTGAGGAGGAGGCGCCAAGAGCAAATGTTAAATTACTCCTGTTAGTTTTTACTGTGAGCTGCTGTTCATTTAAATAAATTAAAATCAAGTTGTGACATAGTCATGAATAGGACAAAGGATGGGATTTTGCGGTGTTCCACCCCCCTTTGGTTTCCTGCACAAACCTAGCAGTAGAATGGCTAGAGCTTCTTGTTGGCATCTGTCTGTCTTGAGGGACAGTAGAGTGCGCCTCCAGGGGTGAAGGTCTAACCACTGCATTAGCAACACTGAAGTGACCTCCCCAGGGTGCAAGCCTGGGCAGTGTGTACAGAGGTCCTGGGCTGCCTAGATGACAAGACTCCCCTCTTGGCTGTGTTGATGTGGTCCAAATGAAGTCAGAGCAATACATTTGGCAGCAGCCTGGCTGCAGGAATTGCCAGAAGGCGTACAAGGCGCCTTCCCACCATCTTAGGGACTCCACTCTAGCTTTGTGTAGGGTTTATTCCTTAGCCTTTTCTTCTGCTGAAGATATCCCATAAGGCAATGGTGGTTTAAGACCAGAGTTTTGCTTCTCCTAGATGGGCTTCCTTCCAGTGTTCAAAACTCCCATTGTTCTAGGCGGATTTTGGGACACGGAATTTTATCAGCGTGAGCAGTTTCTGAGCTCTGGGCACAGTACTGCACCTAAGATTTCAGATTAAAACTGTGGAGTGGAAGGAAAGTAGGAGCTTTTTCTGCCTCTCCACTTTCAGCTTCTATCTGAAGACTGGAGGAGAGACCCTCTTAAGAATATTAGGGGGGAGGGCAGGGGAAGGACTAGACCATGTGAAAAATGAACATAATATTTTAGCTGCAGTTCATTCATTTTCAGCTTTGTATTCTTGGTATAAAAAAGCTTGCCTGGACATTCAGTAGTTGTGCCCATAACCTAGGTTTAAGGTGCCATTTAGCTCCTAGCTTTTCTATCCCAGTTTCTAACACTGCTTCCTTCCCATGTTGACGAGCCCCATCTGCCCCTCACTTCCATTTGCACCGTGTGCAGAAATCGCCTTCTTGACTGTTGGACCCACTTTTGGCCTCATCCACTCAATCTGCCAGAGCCTGTCTTCACATGCAAGGAAGTCCCTAACTCACTGAGTGTTTGAGACCCATTGGCTACCCTCACCTAGTTTACTCATCCACTTAAGCTGTTCTCAGGGTGCGGCCACTGTTGTGTGCTGATAGCTTCTAGGAGCCATAGGTGAGAGCTGAGTGCAGGGTAGGGATCAACGGTGGACAAACTACCCCAGAAGGAGCACAATGTGTTTGCCAGCAGAGGTACTACCCATCCCCTAACACCCCATACACCCTCTTCTAAAAGAGTGCTTTCCCAAAGTTCACATAAATATGATACTGCTAAATCTCAATAGATCATAAGACACCAAAGGAAAAATTGCATAATTAAATTTCAACTTTCCACATTCAAGAGTTCTTCAGTATTTTCCCCTCCAGAGCACATTAGTCAAAACTAATATGAGATCACAAAACTCTAAACTCCTCATGTTAGAAAAGTTACTAGTTCAGTGTATGTTATGTTACTCATACACTGCGGAATACAGAGATGTTAACTAAAACTAGACTCCAGATTATTTACTAAATGGGAATTAAGTTGAGTGAACTTAATTCTTCCTAACTGCTTATATATTCTCTCTCTGTGTGTGGTTTTGTTTTTCAGGGTAATGGCCTTAAATTCACACAAATCTGAAAAGAAAAAGAAAAAGCTGTACAAGGACTCTCTTTCAGTTGCTGCAATGCTGCGGAAGTTTCAGAAGGAGAAGGAAGCCTTTAAGAAGAAAGAAGCTAACTTGAACCCCACAGTGTCAGTGACCACCTCTACACCTAACAAAGTTTCTGCTGCTCCTGCCACTGGTGGAAGTGATGTATCTGACTTGAACCTCATCATCACAGATCCAGTCCTTTCCATTTTTAGCAGCACAAGTGAGCGTGAGCTCCTACAGGAAGCCGAAATTGCTGTGGAGATGCTGGGAGACATTGACTTGGATAGGTTACTTGATGGCACTTCTAATGGTAGCCCAGTATCTGAGCCATCAGGGGAGAATGGAAATGTCACTCAGCCCTCCCATACCTCTGAGGTCTTGACACTGAAACAGGTGCCTGCCCTCCCAGAAGGTCTTCCAGCACACCTAGAGAAGCGCATTGAAGACCTCAGAACTGTGAGTGTGGCTTTCTTGGTGCTGAATTTTGCAGAGAGTTGTTACAGCCCAAATTGCTTAACATTAAGGCTGGCAATATTTGTAGTATTAAGAGTAACATTAGAAACATTGGTTTGAATCTGGTGGTGTGGCTGAGCTAATGGGAAAGGGCCATAGCTCGATGGTAGAACCTCTGCTTTGCAAAAGCTCCCAGGTTCAATCCCATCTCAAGCTAGTGCAGAGAGACCCCTTCCTGAAACCCTGGAGAGCTAGTCAGTATTGTCAGTACGGAGCTAGGGGCATCAATGGTTTCACTTGGTATAAGCTTGCTTCCTATGTTCCTAACAGTAAGGCTTCTGTCACTGAAATGGGGAAGGAGGCAATTTTCAGCTATTCCCCCTCCTCCTTGCACCTATTTGTGTGGGGTTCCATTACCCTTTGGAGCAGATTTAGAGCGGGGGCTGTAGGGATGAGGGGGAATCACCTGAAGTTGTTCCCTCTCTGTTCTGCTGGTGGAAATTTTCCATCAGCTGACTTACACCATTGGAAACAACTCAGTGTCACTGGGTGAGTGGTAGACTTATTCTCCTCTAGTTATGTGTCATTAACAGTTTGTATTAAACTTGCAAATGCTGCAATTTCTTCTCTGATGCTATTTGTTGTTTCTTACAAGAGACTGTAAATGGCAGGTCAGTCACTTGATTTGTATACTTTTTTGATGCACAACACAGCATGTAAAACTAGAATACATATAAACACAAGCGCACACACACATCAGCAATACATTATCCCAACCATCTCCTAATAAAAAAGTATTCAAAATAATTTGATAATGCATACATAATGCATACATCCTTGTATGCATTATGCATACATCATTACTAACTGATCTAGGATATGGTTGTAACAGAAATGGCTGCAAAGGGAGCTAAGGCCAGGTTTTGCAGGATCAACTTCTCTGTCACGTTGGTGGTTACATCTTATGATTAGTCAGCAGAGGGTAACTGTGTGTGGGTGTGGTGGATGCAGGTGGCACTGTGGTCTAATTCTAAAGCACTGAGCCTCTTGGGCTTGCTGATCGGAAGGTTGGCAGTTCAAATCCGCTTGATGGGGTGAGCTCCCGTTGCTCTGTCCCACCTTCTGCCAATCTAGCAGTTTGAAAGCAGGCCAGTGCAAGTAGATAAATAGGTACCACTGTAAAGGGAAGGTAAACAGCATTTCAGTGCATGCTCTGGCTTCTGTCACAGTGTTCCGCTGTGCCAGAAGTGGTTTAGTCCTGCTGGCCACATAACCTGGAAAGCTGTCTGTGGACAAACGCCGGCTCCCTTGACCTGAAAAGCAAGATAAGCATAGCACCCCATAGTCACCTTTGACTGGACTTAACTGTCCAGGGGTGATTTACCCTTACACACACACACACACACACACACACACACACACACACACACATAATCATAAAACTGAAGATTTTTAAGTGTACTCAAGGTACCTGTGTTTTTATTGCTCTTTCTAGGCTGCCAAGCTCTTTGATGAAGAAGGCAGAAAAAAATTCTTCACACAGGACATGAATAATATCTTGCTTGAGTAAGTGTTCCCTTGGTTTTGAGGAAAATGTTGTGCTTATGCAACAGAATGGTTGTCCTGATCAATTTCTAGGCCATGAAGTAAACAGACTTCATTTATTCATTGTTTTTATTTTAAGATGTTTATACCCTACCCTTTCTCAAGAGCGGCTTACAGAAATCAGTACTAAGATGGTCTCTGCTCCCAGGTTCACAGTCTAAAACTACCAGACATACAAGGAAAAAGGAATGAGAGGGAAGAGGGGAAAGTATGCACATGTTCTTAAAGTTGCAGTTCTTGTAACACAGTTATACAAGTCTGTCTGCACAGGTTCTGGCTGTCTAGAAGAATTATAGCTCCTTACCCATGTCAGTGGTGGTTCTGGCTGCCTTGCACTTGTTGCCCTTGATTAAGAGCAGTCGCTCTGAGGAAGCACTTTTATCTGCCTCCCTGCCCAACAGATCAGATCCAGGAGCAGAGCAGATGACAGTGTCCAGGACAGAAAAGCTTTAAGTTACCCATAGAAATTTAATTAGTATTGTTCATTTGCTGACAATCTTTTGATTTACAAGGGAAAACTACTGTATGTTTAAATTCTTCTGAATTTGTATTGTACAAGTCTGGAAACTTACATAATCGTAGTGTGGCAGCTGATACTTCTGAATTAATCTACGTAAGATGTTTATTTGATGGCTATAGAGAGCCAGTGTGGTGTAGTGGTTAAGAGCGGTAGTCTCATAATCTGATGAACCGGGTTCGTGTCTCTGCTCCTCCACATGCAGCTGCTGGGTGACCTTGGGCAAGTCATACTTCTTTGAAGTCTCTGAGCCCCACTCACCTCACAGAGTGTTTGTTGTGGGGGAGGAAGGGAAAGGAGAATGTTAGCCGCTTTGAGACTCCTTAGGGTAGTGATAAAGTGGGATATCAAATCCAAACTCTTCTTCTATATTTTTACATATGATGTAGCATTCATCACATGGTGCTTAATGAAGTAATAGCAGCAAAAAGAGAGTTTAGTCTAAATTTTTATCTCAGAGGGAAGCGAGGGACATTGAATGTGGTGGGAGATATACAACATTATGTATGAAACAATGGGTATTAATTGTTTCCTGTAGCTAGGGCAATTTAATGCAGAACACACAGCTGTTTGTGTAATCCACATCTATACCTATTCTAAGGGCTATACTTCTGTTCTGGCTACCCTGTCAGAGCCTGAAAGATGAGTATAGCCAATCCTGTCTCATGATACAGTTATATTAATGCATGCAGGGGAAAACAATTCTAGTATTGCAGTTCCTCTGTATAACATAAATGCCCTTTTTATGAACAGTGAGTAGAAGCGGTGGTCAAATTTTTCTCATTAATTGTGACTTTCTGTTTTATTTGTCAGTATTGAGTTGCAGTTACAGGAATTGAGTCCTACCATCCGCAATGGAGTATACTCTCACCTCGAGGCTTTTGTGCCGTGCAGTAAGGACACACTGATAAAGCGTTTGAAGAAACTGCACCTCAATGTCCAGGTAAGCATACCTGCAGCAGTTGTATATTTTAGCATGGGCTGTAGAAGATGGACTAGGCTGGGTTCTCTGTAGAATTAAGCCACTGATGTGGTATATATGTGATGTCAAATAGAGTTAATTTTAAATCATGATTTAATTAGTAAGAGCACTCTGCTCCTGTCTGACTCCTGGCTGGGCTGTGAAGCAAGACATTGTCTTGTCATTTGATGTGTGAACCTGGGCTTATAGTTTTCTCTCCAAATGAAGCACAAGCTCAAAGCCAAAAACAAACCTTGATTTACTACTTCTGTTTTGTTCGGCAAGAAACCATGAACCTCATTTTTTGGTTCTTTATCATTTTTATCATATTAAAAGATTAAACGCAAGCTCTTATTGCTAATATGATAGGCTAACTTCATTCTTGATGAAAGCATAATTAAAGGCTTCCAGTAGCTCCTCCCCCCCCCCAATCCAAGTGGTTTCAGAAGTTGAAAAATGTTTGAGGTGGTTCAGGATGAAAGGGAACTGTGCAGTCTCTGAGAAGCAATACATAAATCAGTTGGCAAGACTGCTTGCGTTACTAATGATTGTGTTTTCTCAGGATGACCGTCTGAAGGAACCATTGCAAAAATTGAAATTGGCTGTCAGCTGTGTCATGCCTGAACAACTATACAAATATCAGGAAGACTGCCATGCACACAGTCAGGCCAAGAATGCCAAGTATGTGCATTACCCAGATATATCTCACTTGGTTTATGTGGAGGATTTATGGAGGAAAGTAGGGTTATGCAAATGCTAGCACTTTATCTGGAGGGGTGTACTTGTGGCCTTCTGTATCTGTTTTGTGGTTGCTCTTTTGAATTATGCCATCCCCTAACAGGGCCAGTGCAAGATATTGCACCACCTAAGGCAGGTGCCTGAGTCCTGCTTACTTATCTACCTCCCTTCCTTCCTTCCTTCCTTGTCAATTGCTTTGTTGCTGCTAATGCAGCAGCAGCACTGGTTGTGTCACTGCCTCCAGGTCTCCTTCTCCTCTTTCTTGGTCTGAGGAAGGGCCAGGGCTCCTGCAGAGCTCCTGGAGATGGTGGCCTAGGAGGTTGCTAGTGCTGCTGCAGCTTTGTTGCTGCAGCTAGAAATTCTCTTTTATATGCAGTTCTCAAAATAACTTTTAATTCTTTTTTTAAAAAGAATCGCTAGCCATGGCAGTAAAGCCCCAGGGAGCACTAGCAGTCTCCTGGGCCACATTCTTTACTATGGGAAAATGTATTGGTATGGAGTAGCCAAGGTAAGTACTTGCTTATTTATGTTATTTCTTATATTTACATATCACTTATTACCCAAACTGTTTACAAAAAATAATAATAGCAGAATATAAAGCAAACAGCAAAACTATAAATACTGTATATCTCATCTAAAATACAACCGGTGCCCTTGGGAATCTGTTACACTCCCAATAACAGTGTAGGAAGAATTTGCAATAATGTAATGAACTCGGAACTAGAGTTCCGACTAGAGCATGATAGTCACACAATTGTATGTATAATTAGAAGCTGAAGCTTCTTATGTTCTCTGTATAGTTCTACATATGGGTTCCTCACCCGTGCAAAGCATAAACTTTGGAAACTTTGGAAACTTTCTAGAGCTGTTATAAGGGAGTGCATATATCCCCTGCTCTTAAAGGAGATTTTGTAGATCTACACATGTTTTCAGATTTAGAACAAATGCTTTCCCACTCAGCTCTCTTCTGACTGAATTTGTAGCAGCTAAGGAAAGTTTCTCCATGACAGAACTTAGTGCCCTATTTTTTGTTTCTTTTATTGTCTCACTTTATGGTTTCTAATGTGTTTTTCTTCCTACATTTCTTGCATGCCTGTGGTACTCCTATGGAAAATACTTACTGCAGTTGGTCATGACCTTAGAAAGGCACTTTTACCTGCATTCCCTGAAGTTCACTAAACAAGGATTCTGTATCCTAGTTAGGGTCTCCTTGTGAGAGGAAATGACCGCTAGTCACTATTTTAAACCAACCATTTCCATGGTTCCACTACCACAAGCTAGTAAATATACCGTTTATGGCTGGCGTTAAGAGCCATTGCACTAGAAGTATTGTCACCTTCAATGTGTTGTCAAGAGGATTTATTATTATTTTTTGCTATCATGGTTGACACCTTTTTTATATGGTTGACGCCTTCTGTGTTTAAAACATCATGCTCTGAATGTGTGTGCACTGGGAAGATACAGCTTTTGGCTGAGCAATCTTGTAGTCCTTATTTGCTTGAGAACACATCATCCATCCCAAGGGTGTGTCAGCTAGCCAGTCACCCCTATTTGGGACTGCCCCAAGACCATATAGGAAAGAAGTTTGCTTGTCTGCAACTATTGCTCTTCATATGATCATTTGTACAGTTGCACACAAAAACTTTTGCTTGCTGCATGTGACTCTCGCACCTTTCAATTGGTAATTTTCACAGTGGTTGCGAAAGAACTCAGGGAGAAGGTGCTCACCTTGCCGCCCAAAGCATGCAAATATAATTAATTTTCCTCTTAAATGGCTAGAGCTCTAGGGTGTTCATTAGGCTTGCTTTGCACAGGGAGAGGACCCATACATGGGACTGTACAGATGGCCATTCAAATATCCGATAATAGCAAGCAACTTTTTCTGAAAATAATGTTGCAGAAATAAGTCCAAAGGTATATCGTTGCCAGAAACATAATTGCTCTTTTGTTCTAGAATGCAAGCAGAGGATGAACGAGACAAGAATGCTTCTGAGGAAGAGGAGGATGAGAAGCCAGGAAAAAGGGTTGCAGGTCCAAGAAAGAAATTCCGCTGGGATGAGACAGTGAGGTATGGTATCATGTTGCTTGCTTGTCCACTGCAATGTCCTTTTTAGTCATTGCATCGCAATTGTCACATCACAATCTAACTTGACCTACTGCACACCTGACTGCCAGAAAAAGGAGTGCTAGCAATTCCTGTTTCTAAGTCTCCCCGCATCCCAATAAATGCACAATTATAGTTGTCACAAATTTAAACTGATTTGTGGCTAGTATAATGTACAAGGGTATAACGTTTAGAAGGCTAATGAGATTAAAATTAATTCGCTTGTATCTTTATTTATTTATTGAAAGGAATTATATGCTGCTGTTCACTTAAAGTGACAAATCAGCGTACAACATAATTTAATAATGTCTTAAAACACAAAATATAAAAGCAGAGAATCAAAAGTAGGCAAAAATAAGTGGCTTGGCAATCAATAATTGAAAAAAAATGCTTAGGTGAACAAGCATATTTTTAATGGCCAGTGGAAAACACATTACTGAAAGTAGTGAATCTCAAAAGGAAACTTTCCCAAAATACATGTCACTGCAGAGAATTCCCTTTTCTTGATGGATGCCAGATGAATCTGAGCAGCTGTGGCACCACCAGAAGGGGCTCCTTCAAATGTCTTGTGATCACCTGAGTCTCCAGTGCCAGTTCAAGAAGTACCCCAAACTATGCACCTGTTATTTCAGGGAGAATGCAGTTCCATCTAGAATAGACAAGGCACCCAATTCCCAGATCTGAGAACCATTTACCCACAGGACCTCTGTTTTGTTCGGATTTAGCTTCATTTTATTGACCCTCATCATGCTTTCCATTGTGTTTAAGCACTGATTCGTACCTGCATCACTTCTCATTCAGATACATTAGGGAAATGGAGCCGAATAATAAAACCTTACTAGGTTACCCAAAATACTTCCCAGGTGCTATGGAATGTATGGTGCATATAGTACTTTACATACTATGTACCTATGTTATGGTATATACCTGCCCATTCTTCCCCTTACTAGTGCTTCCTATATTCGGCTATGCCAGCAGTTCTAATTCCAGGACCTTTGTTTTTATTTGGATCATATGTATTTGGATTATGTGAAGCTCCTTTGAATTTCAGTTGCCTAGATTATTATTCTTGGCTATTCTCCTGCCCGGTACAAATAGCTTAGATGTTTAGAGCATACAACTGACTCTCACAATTTAACATGTATTGGCTTCTGTGTCAGTAATTGCAGAGGGGAAATAGGAAAGTGTGGGTGCAAAGCAATCTCCTTTGTTCCTTAGCAAAATATGGACATCTGCACCTTTTCTTTTATTTGCTGTACCCTCCCAATTGGATCTAACTTCCCATTTGCTGGTGAAGCAACAATTCAGAAAGCATTTAGTCAGGACGACAGCCTCAGACATCAGTTGTCTGGTTTACTGCTGTGATGCAGTAGTCCTCTTTGGTTTCCATTTTGGGGATGGGAAAGCGCCTGGTTTTTTTTAAAAATTATTATTAATAAAAATAATAAAAATAATAATAATTTTTATTTATACCCTGCCCTCCCTGGCCAGGGCCGGGCTAAGGGCAGCTAGCACCAAATATGACTTACAATAAAACGTAATAGAAAAACAACAACAACAACAACAAACAATTAAAATACAGCTTAAAATGCAGCCTCATTTTAGTAGCAGCCCATAAATCAAGACAGTAAAGGGAGGAAATATCAGATATTCACCCGAGCCAACTATCCATGCTGGTCCTACATGGGCCAGCAAAAAAGCCAAGGGAAAACTTATATACCAAATCCCATATAAGGGGTCAGAGTGAGTCTAAGCCGAAGGCCAGGTGGAACAGCTCCGTCTTGCAGGCCCTGCGGAAAAATGTCAGATCCTGCTGGGCCCTAGTCTCTTGTGACAGAGCGTTTGACCACATCGGGGCCAGTGCTGAAAAGGCCCTGGCCCTAGTTGAAACCAATCTAACCTCCTTGAGGCTTGGGACCTCCGAAGTGTTGTTATTTATGGACCTTAAGGTCCTCTGCGGGGCATACCAGGAGAGGTGGTCCTGTAGGTACAAGGGTCCTAGGCCGCATAGGGCTTTAAAGGTCAAAACCAGCACCTTAAACCTGACCCTGTACTCCACCAGGAGCCAATGCAACTGGTAAAGCACTGGATGAATGTGATCCCGAGTCAGGGCGGCCGTCCATCAATAGATAAAGCTGGGTGTCATCAGCATATTGATGACAACCCAGCCCAAAACTCCAGACAATCTGGGCAAGGAGACACATAAAAATATTGAAAAGCATCAGGGAAAGGATTGCGCCCTGCGGCACTCCACACACCAAGGAGTGCCATGACGACAACTCCTTCCCTAGCGCCACCCACTGTCCCTGACCTGAGATAAAGGAGCGCAGCCATTGTCAGACTGTGCCCTGAATCCCCACATCGGCAAGGCGGTGGTCCAAAAGTTCATGACTGACCATGTTGAAGGCTGCTGACAAATCTAAAAGAATCAGCAGTCCTGACCCGCCTCGATCCAGCTGTCTACGGAGATCATCTGTTAGGGCGACCAGGGCCGCCTCGGTACCAATTTCTACCCCCAAACCAGTTGTCACTTCCATTCCTTCCTCCCCCTCCTCCCTCATATTCCATGCCTTTGTGTTTTATGCATTCTCTGTTTGCTTAACAACATTTCTTAAATCTGATTCCATGGCAAGGATAATCCAAAAGCAGTTTTGCTTAATATATTTATATTAAATATATTAAGTGTGAACAGTGTAGCATTTGGAACAACTGACTGCAGAGTTCTTTGATAACCTGGGTTGTGTGAATTGTGAGTTATAGAAACAAGGATATAGCTGTAACAAAAAGAACGAAAACTAAACTGTTGTATAATGTAGAATAGGATGCACAGTGTAGCTTGCCTAAAAGGTATAGCAGAAAAGGCAGGGGGAGTGGAGCTACAACAAGTCTAGTAAATCCTGTTGGGGGGGAGGAGGTTTGTGAGGTTCTAGGATAGGTGTACACAGATTACTTTTGACATGTTAATGGTAAAGCAGTTGTGCTTGAGGCTGTCGGGTTTCTTTCAACAGGTCATTGCTGTGTAACCTTATCAAGATAAAACTGGGATGTTATGAGCTAGAGCCAAATAAAAGCCAATCTGCAGAAGATTACCTCAAGGCCTTTATGGAGACTGAGGTGAAGCCACTTTGGCCGAAAGGCTGGATGCAAGCTAGGTATGGTACCTGATTAGATTTGATTAGATTTTTCCCAAATGTTATCAAATGTTTTGTTTGAATGCAGTCACAGCTTTCCTTTAGTTCATCTGACACTTGATTACACCAAGCTACAGAAATGTGGCAAGATTGTAAGGCCTGAATAAGTTGAAAACATATGTTGAGAGAGTGAGTGAGTGTATATGAAGATAGTAGTGACACCTTATGTCAAATCTCCACACAGACTTCCTCAGGTATATGTTAAACAAGATGCAGAGGAATGCTGCAGTGAAGTCTCATAGTGAAACTGAACAATCTCCCACCACCACTTCTTGGGACTAGCCTGATAGGAAAGGACAGAACCATCTAAGCTCTATTTTCTTAATATCTACTAGGTTCTGCAGTGTCACTGGGTGCATATCAATGCATAGTGTTTATGAGGCCGTTTCCTTGATGTTCATATTTCATCAGCCAATACTATAGAAAACAATTTTGAACAAGGTTCTGCTTAGTCTTCTATACCTAAAACTTTGAAGTTCTTGTCAGATTACAGATATTCTTTCCTATAACAAGTAGCAAAATGTTGCACTGAGGAGAAGCTGATTCCGTCTCCAGTTGGCGATAATCCATACTTGCTGAGTTTGTCCACTGCCTTACTTCCTTATTTGTTTGTGCTTTGCTTGTTGGTGGTGGCCATTTTCGGGTAGAAACCATGGAGATAGGAAGGAGAGAAAGAAAGTGGACAGATCAGAGTGCAGGAGAGATTGGTCAAATCAGTTTTTCCCTTCTCTCTTTTGCTGGTTGGGTGCAACCATGGAGGGAAGGAACAAAGGGATCTGGCAAATCACAGATTAGAATAAATGGAAATTGTGGACTTGTTGTGTGAATGCTCACCTAACAAATGATTTCCAGGAAACACATGTGTGTTTGGTAAACGGGGCCTACGTGCATACCATATAAATTATAGTAGTACGAATTACAGGTTCCACTAGAGTTATAGGTACTATAATATATGATACTGTTTGTTAAAAGTGACTGGTGCTTGTTTTCACTCACTTAAAATAGCAGTTTAGTAGTAGTTCCACTCACAGTGGTAATATTAATTTGGCTTTTTTATAAGTCTAAAGATTTGGACCTGAATTAGGAGGTTAGATGTGGCTATTTTAACGGATCTGCATGGTGATCATCCCAGATGCTGCTCTGTCCATCTATCAGAGTATTTGAAGCAAATCATTGGAGATTTTCTCGTGGTTTCAGCAACTGTTCAACTTCTTTAAGAAATCTCTTATTAGTTCACATCCAAGAACTATTCAAAGAAGAGATAAAGAAATGGCTTACTGTTAGAGAACAAAAGTAAATAAGTAACAAATACATAATGGTAACCCAAATTCACAATGGTAATCATTTCTGCCAGTTATTATAGTTGTAAAAAAACAATTGGTGGTAGTGTACAACTGAAAAGAAATTTGAAATATGATTTTGCTATACAGGCACATACATGCACTGACTTAAGAGAAGCAACATGTTTAAAGTGGTTTATTACCACTCTTGTTGTAGCTTCCCATGGGCATCTCTTTGGCCACTGTGAGAACAGGGTGCTGGACTACATGTGCCATGTTTTTAACTTAGAATAATCCCTGATTAACTGATGTGTTTATGCAGCTTTCTACCTTGCATTATTTTATAGTGTAGCCTATCCCAGGATGTCCAACGCAGATGTGTACACTGAAGTAAATTAATTCAGTCTTTTAAACCTCACCTTAAACTGATTCCAACTGTTCATGCTCTGACAGTCCAATAGGAGCACTAAATTTAGGATACTAGTTGTAGCTTTCAGTAAAGTCAGCTTGAAATAAGCAGCATTGTTACTACAAATAATTAATGAAGTCCATTAATTGGCTGCTGGTCAGATATGACCTTTAATAGTGGGTTGCCACAATGCCACAATTATTACAATGTATTAATGTGTATTTAGTGCGGTAAATATGCCTGGCTCTTTATGAACAGCGAGACTTGTTTCCTGCTTTGAAGAATTTGCAATCTAAGATAGACAAGACAAAGACAAGCTGCAGGACATCAGCTTAGGTAAGAAAGGATGTGAAAAGCTTGAGGAGAGATAATTAGCAGCCTGCATATGAGAGTATCCTAACATGATCTAATACAGTTTCTGTAACTGGAAAATTTCCTACTGAAAAGCTTGAGAATAAAGGTCAGTAAAGCAAATAAATGAATAAATAAATAAATACATCTTGTGCTAACAAATGATATTGTGAGGGGTTCACAAGGTGTGTCAATTGTTCTTACAATTTGTTTCCTTATTTAAAGCATGGGTGTGGAACCTTTTTGGCTACACAGGCCAGATCCATATCTGGTTCAGTCTTCATTTAAATAGAAATTGATAACAAATCATGTTTGATGTCTATAGTGTTAGATAAATATATGTGCAAAGCCAGCAATTCTGATCATGTTCTGTTTGCCAAGCAGTGTGGTAGGAGAGCTAAAAAGAAAAATCCAACCAATGCACTCCTTTGATTTCAGATAGTACATGGGTAGATGAGTCTTAAAAGCACAGGACACAAATTTTCATGGCCCTCTAGCAGCTATGGTGGCTCATTTACCATAATTTATTTATTTAGTGTTAACTCTGGAAGTGATTCTGACCATACCAAGCCTCCTAGAGCCTTTATCTTTTTTTCATTTTAATGGCTACTAGATCTGCCCAATTTTGATAGTGTTTTGTGTGTGTGTGCTACATTAGTATGTGAATTTCCTTGGGGTGCCATTCTCATGAAGAACCCCTCTTTTTGATACATACTGATAAACCAATTTCAAGATTACCATGAATGTCTGCTAACAAACTCACATTCCAGGAAAAAGTCATGTGTCAGTGGAGACTTTGCACCCTTTGACCTGCTTGGATGATCATAGAGCTAATAATCATAGAATTGGAAGGGACCCTGCGGATCATCTAGGCCAAACACCTGGATTTGCAGGAATCTCTTGCCCAGCATGGAGCCTGAACCCACAACTCTAAGATTAAGAGTCTCATGCTTTACCAGTTGAGCTATCTCCTTAATCTCAGTTTCTTAAGCATGTTGCCCCTTTGTGTGAGCTGTAATTAAACCAGAAGGACTCTACTGTAGTTTCATAGTGGGAAGGTGTAGCTAATGAGAGGCTTCGTAGTTTGACTGAAGGGTCCTTGCAAAGGGGATTGTGCATATTTTGGCTTAATATATGGTCATTGTTGAGCATAGTAGTTCTCTTCAGATGCAATATGCCTGGTTAGGTGACTGAGTGATGATAAACGTGATGACCTTTTAAAGGAACTTTCTTACCTTCACTGACAGCTATTCTTTTAATACCTAACAACTCACCTGGAAAGAACAGGTTCAAATCTCACTTCCCCTTGTCTGATTCAAAATCTGTTAATGTTACTAAGCCCTGGCCCTCAGACTGACCAAAAATTCTGAATTCCTATCCTCTGTTTCTGATGACTATGTACTGTGCTAAATTCCAGAAGAAGATTTCTAGTTGTAACAAGACTGTGGAAAAGGGGATGGTCAAACTGCCTCTTCTGGTGCTCTCCAGATGTTTTGAACTACAACTCCCATCAGCACCAGCCCAGATGGCCAAGATTGTAGAGGATGGGAGTTGTAATTGGAAACATCCAGAGAGCATCACATTGAAAGGTTGTCCTAACATTTCAAGAAATCATGGTGGTTCCAAATCTGCAGTGAGGCTTTCTTCTGATTAAACATGTTCCAGATTATACAGTTTGAGTGAAATTACATAGCTAATATGTGGGCCAATTTGTAGTGGCTCAGTCAGTTATTGTAAATTAGTTCAATCTGAAGCAGTGACAAAATGTACTATAGATTTGGAACTCCGATGGGAATCTCATAACCCTCTGACACCCTCTTTGGTGTCCACCAAAGTCCCCTCCCCCCCAGGGTTTTTGGGTTGTTTTTTTGTTTTGTTTTTGCTTTTTGCTTTTTTACTTTGTGCACTGGGCTGGCTGGGAAGTAAAGTGTAGTCCTTCAATTGCCTTGCCCTTTTCCCTTTCCTCAGAGCCCCACACAGACTTCATAAGAAAGGAAGAGGGTGTCGAGCCAAAGACTGGTGTTTTTCTTTCCAGTCCATTCTAAAACTTTTTGAAAAACACCCTGCATTGTAAGCATGGGGGACAGAGGTAGTAGGAAGTAAGTTCTATCTATGTGGGGAAGAGGTTTTTTTAGCTTGTTTCTTTTGTGTGGGGGGGGGGGTTACCTTTTGTTCACAGGTAGTGGTGGAGGGTTTGTGTATGTTGTCTGATTTGTATTGTGGTTTTGGGGGAAATGTCTCCTTTTTGAGAGGTTAAGATGTGTCCGTTAAGGGCACACATTTTTGTCTTGAGTCTTTTTTGGGGGGGGGAAGGATTAGCATTAGTTTTGGGATTATTGGTGTTTTGTCTTGTATGAAGAGGTTGTACAGTGGTACCTCAGTTTAAGAACAGCCCTGTTTACGAACTATTCGATTTACGAACTCCGCAAAACTGGAAGTAGTGTCCCAGTTTGCAAACTTTACCTCAATCTAAGAATGGAAGCTGAACGGTGGAAGGGCACCGGCGGTGGGAGGCCTCATTAGGGAAAGCACGCCTCGGTTTAAGAACAGTTTCGGTTTAAGAACGGACGTCCGGAACGGGTTAAGTTCGTAATCCGAGGTACCACTTTACGCTGTTTCTAGAGCAAGTTATTGGCAATCCCCCACAGCAGTCATTCTGTGGTGATACCAACAGCATTTTCTCAGATTGCCAAATATGCCCCCAGGGCAAAAAAGGTTGGGAACGCCTGCAGTAGATTTTGAGAGTTATTTTTGTCCTTGCATCTCTTCACTTATATCTCACCTGAGGGAGCTGTGTAGACATTTGAATATCAGGAAGTGATTAACAAACTATGTTTGATCGAAACATATTAATAATATTTCATCAGTCTTACTGAAGACAACAACACTTGGTAAGCAGTATTCTAATGTAGCTATTATCTCTATTGAAAACCAATGTGCATATTTTAACCCAATTACATCATCTTGCATCAAATAACTGTACAAATAAACTGGTAAGTTCATAGCATGGCATATGGTGAATCATTTAATTCTGGAGAAATTGTTGATGCTTGATAATGTGGAATTCTTTGCTCTCCCTCTCTCTTTATAGGATGCTCTTTAAAGAGAGTCGAAGTGTTCATAGTCATCTTACATCTGCTCCGTGAGTGTAACATAAGCACATATTTATATATACTCTTCTATTTTCATTTATTTAACTTTTCATGCTATTGTTTGCAGACCCATAAAGTGCTTGTCTGAGGCCCGGGGATGGGAGGCTTGTTAGAATAAAGTTTGAACCAGTGTATTTTGTGTAGTTCAAATTACTGGTGAACTACATTGTATGATAGTGTGCTTCAGTATGCCAAGGGGAAATCCCTCTGGAACTAGTCAAATGTTGCCTGTATAATTCTAGATTTTAATCTACACGTCATACATTTACCAGATTGACATCACAGAATAGAATTAACTGGATATTATTGCGATGAAATGTTGAAAGTGGAAGGAGGCGTTTGTGAGAAAGATGATGTTTGAAATTATTGATCTAGATCAGGCACCCCAACCTGCGGCCCTCCAGATGGTTTGGCCTACAACTCCCATGATCCCTAGCTAACAGGACCAATCCTGTGTGGGACTGCTTTGTAAATGGCTTTCTTGCTTGTGAAGTTCAGTGGAGGCATTGATCCTGCAGTTTGTCAGGCAGGAAGGAGATCTGCAGCATCAGGCCTACCTTCCCCTAGGAAGACACAGCCACTTATCAGAGAGGTCTCTGCCTCCTTGTATGGTTTTTCTGCTCTGCTTGTTCCTCCCTACTGCCTGATACTCTGCTCCCTGACAGTCATGGATCTCTGGGCCTGTCCAATACAACTCACAACTATATGTACCTGACTAGTCTGAGGCCCTCTCAATATGACTGATTTGGCTCAGGCCTCAGATCCAGGACAGAGTGCTAGTAATCACAAATATGCTCATTTACAAATTTTCACCATTTTCATTATGAAGACTCAGTACTCCAGTAAGGGGTCAGCTTGTATTCAAAATACAGTTGTTAAATGAACTGTCTCAAGAGGAGGACCAAAATTTAGACTTGGCGTAGTTGTGCTTCATGTGGATATGAGACTATTTTCTGTTTCTTTCTCTAATGGTGTCCACACAACCTGAACCTCAAAGTTCAGTAAGTTGGTGAGTTTAAAGATCAACAAATGGATTTTGTGGAGCCACCTTCTCAGAAGCAAATTATAGTCAAAATCCTGGGTGCATGCATATTTGCAAAATCTCCCCTAGGTTTCAATTAAGTTGTGTTTCCACTTTTTTCTCTTTGAACGTGTCTGCCCATACCTAGCCAGCCTTGTGTTTATGGCCAGCTGATTTAAGGCCTTTCATAGGGCTCTGACACTTCTAATTAAAAATCATAGATTGCCCTCTAACCATAAATTTGTGCTCACTAGGGCAAAGAAGAAGGTGATTCTGGCACCTAAACCCAAAGCAAAGGTAAGTAATAAGTCAAAATGAAGAAATAAATAGTAATAAAAATTCAGCAAGATGTAAAGTTTCACAGATCTGAAACTTTAGCACTTAATCCACCAATCTGGCTTTTTATTTATCACCTTTGTATTTCATGCTTTCGGGGACGCGGGTGGCGCTGTGGGTAAAAGCCTCAGCGCCTAGGGCTTGCCGATCGAAAGGTCGGCGGTTCGAATCCCCGCGGCGGGGTGCGCTCCCGTTGCTCGGTCCCAGCGCCTGCCAACCTAGCAGTTCGAAAGCACCCCCGGGTGCAAGTAGATAAATAGGGACCGCTTACTAGCGGGAAGGTAAACGGCGTTTCCATGTGCGGCTCTGGCTCGCCAGAGCAGCGATGTCACGCTGGCCACGTGACCTGGAAGTTTCTCCGGACAGCGCTGGCCCCGGCCTCTTGAGTGAGATGGGCGCACAACCCCAGAGTCTGTCAAGACTGGCCCGTACGGGCAGGGGTACCCTTACCCTTACCCCTTATTTCATGCTTTCATCAAGGATCTCAAGGCAATATACATGGAGTGCTACCTTTACACCAATCTTCTGAGATACATAAAAAAAAAATTGTCCAGTAGCACCTTAGAGACCAACTAAGTTTGTTCTGGATATAAGCTTTCGTGTTCATGCACACATGGTATCTGAAGAAGTGTGTGCATGCGCATGAAAGCTTATACCCAGAACAAACTTAGCTGGTCTCTAAGGTACTGCTGGACAATTTTTTAATTTATTTCAACTGCATCAGACCAGCACAGCTACCAAATGAATCTTCTGAGATGCGTTAGACTGAAAAACAGCCCAGGGCTACCCAGATCCCTTTTTTTGTCAGCAAATGAAAAAATTGCTGAGCAGTGTGGTCTTCATGAAAAGCTTGCTGCAGAGTTGATTGCTCCATGGGTAATAATTTTAGGGTATATAATTCCTTTCAGAGCTTGTAGAATTTGTGTGATATCTGGAAGGTTCAATGTACTTGCACTTGAAAATGTGCATCTGAGGCTCCTCTTGATATGTTTACTGATGCAAAACTGGATAATATAACATAGTGTTTTCGTTGCAGCCCAGAAGCTGAGACAAAATTAGGGGAGGAAATATATTTAAGCAATATTACTTTTTGGTGACACACTATGGTTCATGCATCTTAATGGTAATTGATTCAGTTAAGAATATTGGCTTTCTTCTGCAATCAAAAAGAGGTTGCATCATGTTGTATTGTGAGCATTCTAGAAATTAGTGTCATGAAGTCTTTTATTAACTATAAATTGGTATGACCTTTAAAACGGATTTGTTGTCTAGCGCTCAAAGTCATGTGATGGGAGACAGATCTATACAGTATTTTTAAGGTGGGCCTATCCCAGTGATACCAAAGATAAAGTGTTTAGCACACACGGGATACTAAGCTATGTCCCCATAACTGTTTTTCCCCTGCAACTCCTTCCACAGACACTATCCTCAAAGTCAGACTTCCTTTTGATGTCCATTCCTGGTCGGTGGAAAAGAGATATCAGAAAATTGATTGTGGAAATAAGAATAGTGGGAACGTTTAGTCATCTCTCAAGCCCTATATATATTTAAAATCACAGCCCCATGTTCACTTAAGATATGGAGCAGACCCATATTGAGTCTCATGCTCTACCGACTGAGCTATCCCCATATGTCTACTATTATCACATTTTTTCTTGAGTCTCAATTTTATACCCTGCCATACTTTGTAATGGAAACTCAAGGTAGAGAACAATATAAAAACAGTTAAATTACAATGGAAAATGGACCGCAATATATACTAGTAACATTTAAAATAAAGCCATTTAACCCAACCTGATCAAGTCAAAAACGGAATTAATTATTTTTTAAAAATAACACAATTTATGGTTCATGCATGCTTTCTCGTGGACTGAGTTCCAAAAGTGAGAAACATCACAGCATGTCCTAAACAAATTTATTTCTTGGACAGAAGGTACTTAGAACAGAGCACCTGTACCAGGGCTAAGTGGCCTCATATGGGAGTAATCTCTCTTTTTAACAGATTCAGTAGTAGATTTAGGGTTTCTTTTAAATAACTACACCCTGCAGGGCTTAAAAAATTAAAACTGATAAGCAAGTATACTTGTTTTTGCAATCCGGTATCAAGTAAACTACAGTAATGGAACCATGCATGATTACAAACAGGCAAGACACAAGCATTCTTTGAAATTTCTTCCTTCTTACTTGCAGAATGATATTTTAATTTTCATTATTTCTTCACACTAGGATTCTAGTCCAAAGAAGGAACAAAGAGTCTGTACCCCTTTTACTTCAGCTTGTGTTCCTGCTTCAAGTACCAGCACACCTGTCACTGCCCTGGCCAGTTCTAGCTGTAATCCTACTCCGGAGACCATCTGCCTAGATGATTCACTGGATGAAGATCTCTCCTTCAATCCACCATCATTGGAATCCATTTCTGATGCTCTGGCTGTTATCAACAATGGAGCCAAGAGTTCTCCTGTTGTGCCCTCTGTAGAGACACCAACTTCAAGACCTCGGCCTGGGCTGAGAGAAGAGAAGTTAGCAAGTATAATGAGCAAGTTACCTCTGTCATCTTCAAAAAAGGTAGAGACTGTTCAGACACCACATTCTTCAAGTCTTATAGCTGGGCACACAGGACCAGGACCAAAGAAATCCCAGGATTTACTTCAGACTGGTATCTCTTCAGGCCTTATTGCTGGGTCTTCAATTCAGAATCCCAAGGTTTCATTGGAGCCCTTGCCAGCCAAGCTTCTGCAACAAGGATTACAGAGGTCAAGCCAGATTCAAGCTGCTTCCTCTTCACAGGCCCACATTTCTTCCTCCTGTAAGATCCAAGCCACAGCTTCCTCTGCTTCTCAGAGACCAAAGGATATGTCTGTCCTTGTATCCTCTTCAGAAGCCCACGGTTGTGGCTCTTCAGCATTACAAATAACAAAGGTTCACCAGCAGTCAGCTGCCCAACAAAAATATGTGTCTCCTCTACAAGCAACTATTAGTAAATCTCACACCAATCCTGTGGTGAAACTAAGTAGCAACCCTAAACTCTCTTGTTCGTCCCCAATTACCAAGACATCAGATAAACCAGTAGCATACCGCCTGACTAGCACTGCGTCTGGGAGTAGTTCCCAGATGGCTCACCCACTTGTGTCTCGGACAGCATCCAGCACCTCTACCTCTAGTAACTATTTAGCCAAGACCATGGTATCACAAGTTTCTGCCCAGGGTTTCAAGCCTCCTTTCTCCATGGTTCCTTCCCCCAAACCTGCTGCCTCTCCTAAGCCCACAGCACCCAAGCCTTCTGTAACACCCAAACCTATTGTGTCACCTAAACTATCCTCATCAAGGTCCACTTCAACACCCAAGCCTGTATCATCTTCCAGTTCTTCCAGTTCAAGTGCACTAGTATCCCAGAGTAGTCACTCTAGCAGCAACAATTCCCTTCACAAACAGCCCAGTGGAGCAAATGTCAGCAGGCAGTCTCCTACAATTAATTTACTGTCCTCTAACCGCACCTCAGGCCTTCAACCAGCAAAGAACCCTCAGGCTCCTTCAAAATTGTCCAACTCTTCTGCCTCTGGAACTGTTGGCAAAAGCAATTTAAGTGGAGTTGGAATGAATGTACCTGTCAACAGAGGCAGCAATCTTAATTCAAGTGGAGCTAATAGGACTAGTATCTCTGGGGCAGCAGGAAGTGGAACACAGGGTGCTACTAAACAATTGTCAACTCCACACAGACCATCTTCTGCCTCAGGGTCTACAGTTATACCAGCCAGTGTGCAGGTATGTGTTGAATGTGAAAGCTCATTATAGGCATAACGTGTGTATTCTATTTTGGGCTATTTATCCTTCCTCATAAATGTAATTACACTAATAGTGCAATTCTCTACATGTCTATTAAGAAGTAGGCCTCATTGAGTTCAATGGAACTAACTCTTTAACTGAGCATGTGTAGGATTACATCCTAAATGTATATAGACAGCTTCACACTGATGAGAGGGTATGAAGCTCTAAAGTTCAAAAGAGACAACTTGCACCCTAAGGGTGGAACTGCACATTGTGTGACACTGAAAACAGCAGCCTATGTTGGCTTTTACTCAGTAAAGTGTAGGATTGCTCACCCCATTTTGTGGTGTGATTATTTTGTGCATTTCTCTGCCCTGCCAGTGGCAGCAAGTGATGTGAGATAGGGGTATATATGTGATTTGTATCCCACATATCCCTTATGTGATTCACAGTATAGAATAAGTGATATATTACAATAGAATTTATTATATTGAAGTAGGTGGGGGAAACCCTAGTCACTCTTGGCATAAATGACACATTTGTTTAGCACAGTACACAGTGGGAGCAAACTTCAGAATATTTACAGTATCATGTTGAGATTTGTTTCAAAGGCTTAACAGAAAAGGCTAATTCACATTACATGGAAAAAGCAGTTTCATGTGAGAAACTATTTTTCATTTTTCATTTCCCTCTCTGTTTTCTTATTTTAATCAACATCTTCTATCTTTTTATTATAAAACTATTATTTTAAATTTGTATACTTTAGACTTGAACATAACCCAGATATGCAAGCCAAAGCGATTCTGGTGCTACAGTGTTTTTCTGTGACGTTTGCTGCAAGTTCTATTTTCTAATATTCTAATATTCAATCCATAATGTCCTGTATGGAATAGGCCTCACCATCTCATGAGTTAAACACACACGAGTTAGTCCATATTGTCAGTCTGAACAATTTTAATCAATGGTGCTTGTCTGATGTTTTATTACTCTTCTGTTGTATCCTGCCATAATTTAAGCAGCAATCATTTCTATTTCCTTAAATGTAGCATTACATAAAGTAAAGCATTGCTTATAGAAGCAACTGTTCCCAAAATTAATATTTATTTGCTCCATTCTTCTATATAACTGCTTCAGACTCCATGTCTACTACCACTTTCTTAATGAGGGGCCTTGGGCCGAAAAAGCAGCTAATACTATGCTCGTCAGCCTCCCTTTCATCCAGTGATAGGACCTACAGCCAGAGTAGCTATACTGTAAGCCTTCTTACCTGTGGTCCTTCATCTAAAAACCTAACTTGGCTTTCACTGTAATATTTTCTGCTTCTACATTTCCTTCTTTGTGTATCAAATCTTCCAAGAGCTTTCTGAACTTCATACATTCATACCATTTCATGTAGTCCTTTTCAGCATTTACTGTGTTAGTTTCTAGAGCAGCTGGCTTGCACATAATGCTAAGCCAAAAAAGTCATAAACGTGTGAGGGTTCCTGAGGAGGAGATTGCAGCCGCTGGCTATTACCAGCAGCATACTGCATTACTACCTTCCACTGACCCATAGTTTATTGTGCGAAGCTGGTAGCTCAACAGTTGCAGAGCCTGGCATAGCCTGGCAGATTGGGCCAACTCATCCAAACCCCATCCAGTATTCTCTTGCCATAGTTGTAGCACACACTCATAGATTGCTGCATTTGATTCTTGTCTGCTCTTCCTATATTTCTATGTTCAGGGTGAAGTGAGCAAGTTAGAATGGTGATACATATAATAAATTATGATAACTGCAGAAATCCTTCCCTTCTTGTACTAGGGTTTCTTGGTTATAGCTGCTTTGTTCCCTAAACTGGTACTGCAATCCTGAGTACACTTACTGGGATAAGCCCCCTTGAACTCCTTGGGACTTACTTCCAAGTAAGCATACATTAAATTGTGCTATGAAATAATTTATGCCTTCAGTAACACTCTTACAAAATCTTGAATTTTAAATGTAAGTGCAATGGATGCAATGCTGTGGGAAAGAGAAGCTGAGGGAATGGTTGAAGCATTATAAAACTCTCCCATTTAAAACTATTAATTGTGGAAACAGTAACTTACACTAATGGCAAGACAAAAAGGGAACGCAGCACTCACTGCTACCTGAATATTTTATAAAGTTGTACCAGAAGCCACATAGGCAATGTGTAGAAAAGCATGACCCTTGTTTTACGTAGTAAAACTTCAGATATTTATATAATTAACCTTATTTTCTTGGGTGTGTCCCAGAAAAGCTGTAAAACAGATTTAAAAGTAACACTTGTCTCTATACAGTCAACAACAGGTGCATCATTACTGGCAAATGCTTCACCTTTGACGCTCATGACATCACCCCTGTCTGTAACCAATCAGAATGTGACATCTGCTCCATTGGCTCCTTTTGGGATGCTGGGTAGCCTTGTTCCTGTGACTGTGCCCTTTCAGTTCCCATTGGAACTACTTGGCTTTGGAACAGACACAGCTGGAGTAACAACCAACTCGGGATCTACCTCAGCGGCTTTCCACCACAGCCTAGCGCAGAGTAAGTAAGGCTAGATATTTTTCCCATCCAATTTCTTTAAGCCTCCTTTCACATAAACACTGTAATTGCAAGGAAAATGCAGGGATCTCTAGAAATACTTCACAGTTTGTAGGTGAGGGTTTTATTTTTTGGTTGCTGTTAATAGCTATTTTTAAACTCTCAATATTATGTATGTAAACGTGTATGTTTTTCCACATTATGTGCACACTGATTTTTGACTTCCTTTCTGGATGAAGTGCCCTGTGATAATTGGAATTTGAGAAATTTTTGTTTATAAAGTGGGACAAAACCCTAACATTCTGCATCCCAGAAAATCGATTAAAATGAGCACCATAGCTTACAATCGAAAATAAGCTTTGCCTTTGATATCGTAAGTGCATCTTTTGTAAACAGTTTTTTCCCTTCTTATTTACCAAATGTAGATTTCAGTATTTGTTTGATATTAGACTTGGAACGTTTAATATTAGTTTCTTGGGAAGTCTTAAGTTGACACATTTATTTAGCTATATTTATTGTTCCACTACCACAGGATAGCATATATTAAAAACAAAAGTGGTATCAAACAGGATATTTCCTTAAGTTGCATTCTTGGCATTTTAAACAATGTATCTGTTACATTTACTGAAAGAACATGTATATATTGAACTGGTAACCATTACTACGGAACCATGTTTTGGACAAAAATAAGTAAAGCTGCTTTGTGCATTTATGCAAAGTAGATTGTTTGCATCAATTAGCTCTTAATTTTTGTGGTTGTATTTGTTTTTTATTATCCACACTACTTCAGATTTACTGAAGAGTTTACCGCCTGGAGCTCAACATGCAACAGCGCTGTCTCACACACCTCTGCCTGCTCACTTGCAGCAAGCTTATACAGGTAAGGAAAAAATCTTTTCTTTTTAAAAGAAAAAGAAAGTGAAATAACACTTTTTAAAAGTGAAAGAACAATTTTCTCATCATGGCTAAAGTCTTTTGTAATTCTACAATAGTGAAAACTGCTGTGGAATCTGTTTTTCCAACATTTCCATTATGGCAGCTGCCAGAAGTACTCCAGAAAACACTAGGACCTAACAATGGCTTCTGAAATTGCTTGAGGGCCTGGTTATCTCTACATCTCAAGGAGAATTCTCAACTTGGGATGAATTTTGGGTTTTCACCTACTTTGATTATCTGTCACTGCATATATAAAATAAGTGAACTGAGCTCTTTCATAAGGCATTTTTCTCAAATAAATACAGTGATGCCCCGCAAGACGAATGCCCCGCAAGACGAAAAACCCGCAAGACGAAAGGGTTTTCCGTCGCGGAGGCGCTTCGCAAGACAAAGTTCCCTATGGGCTTGCTTCGCAAGACGAAAACGTCTTGCGAGTCTCGCCATTTCCCCCCCGCTTTCCCCCTCCTTTTTCAAAGCCGCTAAGCTGTTAATAGCCTTTTAACAGCTTAGCCGCTAAGCCGCTAATAGCGCTAAATTGCTAATAGCGCTAATCCGCTTAGCCGCCAATGGGGTTGCTTCGCAAGACGAAAAAACCGCTAGACGAAGAGAATCGCGGAACGGATTCTTTTCGTCTTGCGAGGCACCACTGTATTTCTCAGAAAGAATTGGAGTGGAATTTCAATGAAGCAGACCAGTTAACCTATCTCCCACATTCTTGCTTCTGGAGTCAAGTGCAGGGATACTGGCATATCTGGCATGGCTAGGCCTCTTAGTATTTGCCTACTTGCTAAGTTTTGTCTTTGCCAGTTTTGAATCCAACTGTACTATTGGAATGTACCACGTAGTGTGGCAATGAATTCCATAAAAGTGTTGCATGAAAATTGTTTTCGTTGTAAAGGCTGTCAAGTGGGAATGCAGATTCCATCATATAACATACATTTCGTGAGAGTAATTTACATAATAAGACAATTTACCTTATATGAATCCCCCCTTTCATCTTCAAATTCCAGATGGAGGCCAAAGTAAAGGGGACACTAAGTTACAGAGGAAAACCCAGTGATGTCCTGATGAGCCAGGGAGTTAAAGTGGTTCTGCTTTGCTGATGGAGACTGACCAGTTGGGAAAGTGCTTACGCGGACACAGAGCTGCTGTTTCTGTCAATGTTTACATATTCTGATTCCAAGCACTGTGGTGAGGAGGAGGAGGAGGAGAAGAAGAAAAAGAATACTTGATCAAAGAGAGAAGGAAAAGGAGGAAAGTGTTCATGTAAAAATGGTTCATAGTTTGATATCTCCTAGTGAATTCCCAAAGCCTTTTATCCTTTCTGAATAGCTCAGAAAGGTTTGGCCAAATAGGTTCAGTTGTCAAACCTACAGCAGCACAAACCTTCTTTCAGGCTGATATCTGATAGTGGATCTGTGAAAGGAAGCTAAAATAGACATCTCTATCCATCATGCAAGTGAGGCCATACATCTGTTGTCCCCAGGGAAGTCTACAGTATATGCCAGTTAGGAACATTCTGTACAGCTTTGGATAATGTGGCATATAAAGCAGAAATTGTGATTATGTAGAAAAAGCAAGGAAGAAAGTATTTTCTCCACACCAAGCTAAGGCCATTTTGTCACTATCTCTTTGAAGAGCCTAAAGATTACAGACGGGGAGGATTGTTCACCATAGGTAATGTCATTGACCAGGGTAGAGTTTTTCCCCTCTCACGATGGGAGGAAGGGAGAAGTCGGAGGGTGTTCTGTAACCATTCTTCAATTTAACTTCATATACTCAAATATAAAATGAGAACTTACTTGGCTTCATCAGACCAGATCTTGCTTTCAGTATCTTCTGAAGAAAGTCTTTTCCTGCCCTTAATCTTGCTGTAGTACTTCAGAGTTGCCTTATTTTTCATAAACATAATCCAGAAATCTCCAGTTTTGATCCTTTGTGAAGAAAGTCTTGTCTCTGGTTCTTCTCCCTCTTGTAATAGCTCTAAAAAGTCTCACACTGTATTGATTTCCAGCTCACAATAACTACATGTAGCTTGCTTTTGTACAGAATCTTGCTTTTCTCAGTACTGTTCAAAGCCTTCTCCAAAGAGTAGTTGAGGTGCCTTCAGCCTTGGCTTAAAATATGTACCTCCAGCATTCCTAATACCTGCATAGCTAGGAGGTATAAAACCTGACCCCCTTGTTGCACAGGGACACAACTTCTTTGCTGACATTCAGTTTTTGATAGCAATATGTTAGATGTTGGGGAGGCAAATCTTGTATTGCACTTCGTAATTATTACAGAAGGAATATTTGGATCAAAATATAATTTTGTTAAGAAAAATCAAGAAGGCATGAGACATTGTGCTCTTCTGTAAAAAGTATCTATTTTCTCTCACTTAAATCTTATTAAAACATTTTGACCAGTTCTAGCCTGAAAAAACTGAAAAATCTTAAGTAATCTGAAAATGAAGGCCATTCTCCAATAAAGGTATATGCGCATGCAGGAGAACATGTATAGCTGGGGGTTTCTTTGAAACTTCAACTGCAAATTGGTCAAGCTGCAGTTTAAGCAGACAAGCAGCTTGTCTGTTGAACAGTATGAGTGGCTGCATTAAAACTTCAGAGAAATCTTTGGCTCTTCATAGTGTTCTACCCACATACCTGTATAGCTTTATTGTATAGTGGCCTAGATCACACTTGCTGCTGCCTTCTACCAGACACGTTTTTTGTTTCCAGGTATGTTCCTTCATCTTAGAAAGCCAGATATGTTATATTTACTAATTTAGATTTCACACTAATTCTATATGTAAAAATATACATATATTTAAATAATATATAATATAAATACAGTAACTGAATGTTGGGTTGAGCCCACTAATAAAGAACTTTGCACAACATCATGGAATAAAAAACTCAGTTAAATATTGAATTTTACCAAATGCAAGGTAAACAAAAGACTTTTCTAAGATATTTCTTGTAGTTTGGTAGAAGGGACTACAAACTTGCCATACTTAGTTCAGAATATATTTGGCTGGTTCATTCCCCCAAACCTTAGAGTCCCCAAACTATTAACTGGTATATTTTCTTCTCTTACTCATTTTGCTGACCCTTGAGATAAAAGTAAAAACTTCCTTGTTCACCACAGCATATATTCCATGCATAAACATACAAAATCTTACATTCTCTGCAAGCTTGTTACTATAGTGTTGGCTTTCCCTTGTAGCAATTTAAAGCCTGCATTGCAAATTAAGTATGTTTTTGAATCCTTTTTTAATGTATCTTGAAAGTGTGACTACGTTGAGAAAAATAAAAGTAATAAATGCAATTATTGCTTGAGTGAGATAGAAATGTATTTTCAGTAAAATACCATCAAATGTGAGGTTACATTGGCTTAACTAGAAGGAATTTAGTGAGAATTTGGCATGTGATGAGTCTGCCTTTGCGGATCTTATTATGAACACTAAATCTTAGGCAGGCAATATTCCTTTTCCCCCTCTGTTCATTCTAATATGCAGTAGGAGAAAGTATGGAGGTCAAATGTTTTTCTGGCAGACTTAGTTTTTTGCTTTCAGGTGTTTATCACGGATAGAAATATTGTACCAGACAATTCATTTATGTCACTTTTTCCCTTTTAAGCTCTTCTGTATTTATAAAGCAAAATTTTAGTCCATGGTTAAGCTACTGAAAAATGAAATTTCCTCCTTTAGAACAAAATAGCACAAATTGCCTGCCCCTTCAGTATAGCTCATGCATATTCTAATAATATATTACATCAGTGAATGAGTTGATTGGTCAGACTACACAGTCATTCATCCCGCCACAAAGAAGTCAAACAGGAATAAGCTGGGCATACAATGTGAACTCTCAGACGATCAAGTTTCAAAAACAGCCAGCTGTAAGTATCAGAAGACATTGTGACACCAGTAAAATAATGATGGATGCCAACTCTGCATTGTGTGCACAGTAAAGGGGGAAAAGATATTGGAATGAATGAACACAGTGAAGTGCAGCATTTTTTAAAAAATAAAAAGATATAGGCACATGAGCTGAATAGTTGGATCTAATGAATTGGCTAGAAAGAGGATAAATAGCATTCTAATGCGGTTTAATTTGATGAACTTCCTGCATAGTAAGATTCCATTTAGTTGTGTGATGTTTTTAAAGGTCTTCGGGAATTCACGTTGCTCTTGTCCTAACCCCCTCAGTATTCACAAGCAATAAGTCAAAGCTGTTATTCTGGGCAGCTGAGCTGAACCAGGAACTAAAATGGCAAGCTCACTCTGAGCCTCAAATACAAGCAATAATTTTCAAGTACAGGTTTGGAAATTGAATATTATTTAAATTATGCCTTCTGCTATGTGTGCTTAACCTTATGGGAACACACTAGCAATTTCCAGGTTATCTGGAATTTATCCAAAATCTAGATAAAGGATACAGGCATTGAACTACAAGATGCAAAAACGTCAGTTGTCTTAACAATATATTGTTCTCCTCCAACCTTAAGATAAAAGTTGATGGTTTAAATTACTCCTTTTTGTTCAGACTTTTATATCTGCTTGTCTCCCGGAAGATGGTTGGGAATTTTGTCAAAGTCCCAGGTGTGGGTGCTGTGGGTTTGACATCTGTTTTATTAAATAAGAAGTGATTTTTAATTTATCCAGTAGTATAGGCTGGAAGTGGGGTAGACAAGCAAGATGACACTTCTTTCCATTTTTAGCAGTCTAATCCAACCTCTGCATAGCCTCTCCACTTGGTACAAAAGTAAAGATTCTGCAATTCCGAAGCTACCATCAGTTATACGGAACCATAATCATCTGACAGATAGTCTCTTAAAGCTCCCAACTGTCTCATGTTTGCTGCTACATTCGTGGAAAGAACTTTTGGCTATATTTATAAGTAAATTTAAATCTAGTTTACAGATTGGTTTTAGAGTTGGTTGCCCACGGGAAGATTAGAATGTCTTGATTTATTGGAGTGCATTGGCAACAGATATAGTGACTGCGCTTATTTTTTTATTTTGTGACTTTTCAGGATAGTATTGCAGGGAAGAAGCAAAGCCTGCAGTCAGGCTAAGCTTTGGAAGGTTTTCACCCAGGTCTCTTCCAGTGTTGGTCATTGTAGAATTGCTTGCTTTTTCTATTTTCTAAAAACTAAACACAAAGGTAAACAACTGATCAACATTTTATGCAATTTAATTTTATGGCAACGTGTAAAAGTTTTTATATAATTTGGTTCTGTCTCTGAATAGTGTGTCACTCCAACTTACTTGATTCAGGCCTTTGTCCTTTGGTTAAGTGCCTTTTCTTTGTTTTTTGTTCCCAACTTTCCTCAAAAAGTATACTCAGAGGTCCTAAAGTGCTAGGAGGTATTTGGAAGAACCTTGAACCTGCCAATATGACTTTATGCTGTTAAAATGACTTTTCCCTTCTGTAATTAGTGTGTGTAATGTTATCACTGCTGTATTATGGCATTCATTATTAGGTGCTTGCTTTCACACATGGCAGTATTCCCAACAGCCCTAATGTTTCATATGTTTTCTGTAGCATTAATGTTTACTTACAAAGGTGAACACAGACACAGGTGAGAGTATGGTAATTAGGTGTATTTGAGCAACTGTAAGGAAATGAGTGGTTAGTTGGAAATGGGCTGAACTATTCTCACTGGAGTTTCAGGTTGCATATTAAATTTTAGTATAATAGTGCTAGTCTGATAGTGGTATAAATATTGAATAAACTTGAACTGGTATTCCTAAAGTGTGACACAATTCTCAACAAAATATAACATTCTTAGCAAAAAAAGAAGAAGCACTGAACAAATTTCCACAAGTTTTAGAAATTGTATCAAGAATTCGTATTTCTTAAATCAAACTAGCAAGGTTAATTTCAGTTCCGGCAGCACAAAAAGTGCTGGCTAAAAAGGTAGAATCCTTTTCATATTGTTCTACTCCATCTGAGGAACCTGTTCTTTGGATCTCTAGGCAGCTATCTGGTGACAGTAGTGACTAAATATTCCTACTTAAAGTGACTGTTTCCCATGCACATTGAGCTTCCCTGTGTTGCTCAGATACATATCTAAAAATCTGTGTCAGAATTAGTCACACAAGTATCTTACAATTAAGTAGCAAATTTGCTAAATTAAAGAGTAGCAAACTAGTTTCAAGCAAAGAATTACAACAGGATTTCACTTAATGTCAATATTTTTATGACGCCTACTACTGTAAATTAATGAACTGTGAGAATAGTAAAAATGCAACCTAGCAATCAGAATAAGTAAATGTGCATTTTAAAGCTTGTTATATATTTGTAAAAAAATAATCTGGGTTTTCTTTAACAGTGTATTATTTAACAAGGTTTTACTATCTCGAAAACAGATCTAAGTTCTGTCAAAATAATTCTGAATCAATGGTTGGGCACTCAGTGCTGAATACTGCTATACCTGTTTAGGTGAAGGTGGCTCGTTGTGGCTGAGGGAGATATTATCTATGTAGTGAGTTAGTTTCTTCCTAATTCCAGTGCAAATATTGGAGAAGATGGTTCTACCTCTAGTCAAAAAAGGGGTTTGAACAAACTTCCATTTAGCAAGGAATGTTCTAATTGGGAGGGAAGAGAGAGACTGCCATGCCCTTGTTTGTTTGAAGCCTGAGCTATGGCCTAAAATTAAGCTTTAAGGAACTTACATTTAGGAAAAAATGAGCTTGCTCTAAACATAACTTCATCAAAGAACCCCAAAATGTGTCATTTTCTATGGGTGGAAGTATTAGGGAAATGTGGTGGTGTGGAATCAGTGTAACAGTGCAGAAATTGCCCTTACTCTTCTCTGAATCCACTTCTCAGGACCCTTTTGCTCAATTTTGCCTTTTTACAGCTCCCACCAATTTTTTGGTGGTTGAAGTTTTAAAAGAGCTTTGAGATTAAGCTAAGGAACCATTCAACTCACTCGCTCCAGGAAACGCAAGCTCCGTGTTTAGACCATTTTCAGTTCTTTTCCCTAATTGAATTATCCTTTCGTTTGGCACAGCAGAAAACCAGGGTTCTCTAGTTTTATCTTACAATAAATGTTGCATTGTGGAGCAGTTCTTGTGCAGGATAAGAGTGTCTTTGTTCCATATAACAAATAATTTTCTGAAGCCTTCACCCATTCCTATTGTAGACGGTTAAATAGTGTACACAACATTCAATTATTTTTCACCTTTTTAAGGACTGAGGATTTTTCACTTGCTGTGCTGACATTTAGCAGCAAAGATAACAACTGGGTATGCTCTTTCCTGACATAAAACATAAATTGGCAGAAACAAGCAAATTCAGAGGAAGCTAAATGGTAGGCATGGCACTCAATGTTTATTTAGAAGCAACTGGTTTTTAGCACAGGGGGGCAGGGATGGTCTTTGTTTTCAGCCTTTCCCTTCTATCTACAAGGCCTTAGTTTGATTCAGTAGGCAGTAAAATAAACTATGCATATAACTAGACTTATCATTCAGTAGCACATATACATTTCCCATGCTGGTGTGACGTTTACCCAAAGAAACAAGATATAGCTTTTTGAATGTGTATACTACAGAAATATTTTTGTAACATGGAAATTAAACTCTAGATAAAAAGCAAAAAGACTTTCACCAGTTCAAAGCTAGTGTCATGAAGAAACTTCATGGCTTTAAGAACGATATTAAAATCTGATGATGTAATGCCTTGATTGACATTATCAAATATGCAGACATGAAACATGTAACTATGGGAGAAAGATCCTTCATTACCATCAGCAAACAGAACTTGATAAATCTGCAAGTGAATGAATACCTCACCTGTACACAGAGAAATGTCAGTTGGACATTTTAACTAACTCTTCCTCTAGATCAGTGTTTCCCAACCTTGTGCCTCCAGCTGTTTTTGAACTACAACTCCCATCATCCCTGACTAGCAAGACCAGTGGCAAGGGATGATGGGAATTGTAGTCCAAAAACAGCTGGAGGCACAAGGTTGGGAAACACTGCTCTAGATAGACCCTCCTCTAAATGTAAGTCAATTTAGAATCCTGATACTTTTCTGCCTCCTCTTGCACATTTCAGTGTTGGACCTTCTGTGGTTTAAATAATTGCCTGACTAAACTCCCTGATGTTGCAACTGGTGCACTTTTGTCATTCATTCTCAGTGTTGGAGGTAGATTCTAAGCTTTAGAGTATTTGGACTGCTAGCAAGCAAGCAAAAACTCAATTATACTTATGTTACTTTAAAATAAGCTTAACTTGACCTCAAACCTGCTGAGCAGCGTTGAATTTTTAGCATTATAAACTAGCTCTCCCCCTTTCCCCCACTTAGCACATTCAGACCTAAACATTACATTTCATCCGTTGGTATTTTCTAGGTCACAATATGTTTATTATAAGTGAGTGCCTGTGTCATTATAAATTCAGAGCATTGAGCAGAAATTATTCTGGAACAAAAGACTAAAATGCATTTCCTAATAAAGGGAATCAATCAACAGTAGAGCTTTGAAGTTTAAAGGCACCTTTCTGCTGAATCGTGTGTGTGTGTTTTCTTCACCTATTAACATTCACTTGGGGGAGAAGTAAGCTTTTAATACCTAGCTCAGTTGGCTATACATTTTAATAGAAGAGGTTATACAAAGTGAGGAAACTTCTACATGGTTAGCTCACTACTTGACAAAATTGACACATGAGTAGTTTTTAAAAATTACTAGTTTGTATACCCCTCCTGTAACAAGTTGGCTATACATTTTAATAGAAGAGGTTATACAAAGTGAGGAAACTTCTACATGGTTAGCTCACTACTTGACAAAATTGACACATGAGTAGTTTTTAAAAATTACTAGTTTGTATACCCCTCCATGTAACAAGCTTCCTTATCAAGTAGTGGTGCTGTAATAAACCATACTTGGCAAACACATCTGAAGCAGTAACTGTGTTCTAGGTTCCACATGTAGGCTTACTTTACTAGTTAGAACTGGAGTTTTTATGTAACTGAAGGGGAAACCTTTGGCTTCATGTGGGGAGAATACTCTCCTAAAACATCTTCCATGTGATAATGTACTCCATGCAACAAATATAAATGGCTTCTCTTAGAGAAGGGGGCTTGAGTAGCCAAACACAGCTACTTGATAACTGGTGCCAACTGCTTTTGGTTTTGCTTTTTAGGGAGATGTGTTCTACTGATGTGGCGTAAATGATTTTATCTTTTCCTCCTCTCTCAAACCGAATCTGAACACAATATTTGAATTAACTTTTTTGTAATAATCTCAGGACCTGAAAGATTGTAGCATAGTGTGTCTTAAATGATGTACTGTACCAGCCATGAATTTTGTAAATACCCCTATCGCCCTCCTTTTTGTATTTTTGTTCTTTTTTTTAAGTATGTAAGGCTCCTCACCAGAACTGGTGCTTGCTTACTATCCATCTAAAACAGGAGTAGGAAAAAGGGAAAGCTGCTGTCACAATTGCCTGCCCCAGTTCTAAGTGTACGTTAAGGTTTGCTCAATTTTTAAAATGCTATTTATCTGGGAAGCAAATACTTTTACTCCTAGCACACTATATCATGGTTTGGACCTGAACAATAACATATAGAATAACATATATTTGTTCCAGAACCAAAATTGCTTGATGTCAGAAGCAAGCAATTTTCTTCATGGCATGCCTGCCTCTGAAGTCCAGGAATTCCCAGTTTTCACACTTCCAAACAGGGTGCAGATTTTTATTTTTTTGCAACAGACTTCCTCTAAGAATGCATCTGTAGTTAGCTAGCAGATATCTGATCTGAAGTGGGAGCCTTGTTCAATTGAGTGTAAGTGTTCCTGTTCTTAACTATGGCAGGGCCTTCATGAGTGTTTTTCCCCCTTTTGTATGTGTCATGTGTCTGTGCTGTATTAAATAAAGAGGAATGTACATATAAGCCCATCTGTCTTCTGCTATTTATTTATGTATTTGAAGCCATTAAAACATGCAATGTTGCTATCAAATAATGCATTTTTTAAACCCAACAAAACTAACAGTATAGGGAGGACAATATGATTTAGAGTACAATGAAAACACAAAATATCAAAGCAAAAACTAATATACCTGATCCCCAAATGATCACAAAAAAGATATTTACAGAAGCAAGAAGAGGGTTGTGTGTTGTCAAGACTACATGTGAAGAAAAATCCTCAGTCTAGGTCCAGTTGTCAAAAATGTGCTCTCGTAACAGTGGCATGTGAAGCAGCACCTTGGCTAAGAATGCAAGAGAGCAGGTAGATTCAACTAGAAGCTATCCTGGACACAGGAAGGTTAGGGTCTAAAGCACTGAGCCCTAGGGCTTGCCGATCGGAAGGTCGGCGGTTTGAATCCCCGTGACAGGGTGAGCTCCTGTTGTTCGGTCCCAGCTCCTGTCAACCTAGCAGTTCGAAAGCACATCAAAGTGCAAGTAGATAAATAGGGACCACTCCGGCGGGAAGGTAAACAGCGTTTCTGTGTGCTGCTCTGGTTTCGCCAGAAGCGGCTTAGTCATGCTGGCCACATGACCCAGAAAAACTTTCTGTGGACAAATGCCGGCTCCCTTGGCCAGTAAAGCGAGATGAGCGCCGCAACCCCAGAGTTGTTCGTGACTGGACTTAACTGTCAGGGGTCCTTTACCTTTTTACCAATACATTGAATTGGTCCTGCAAATGGATTGGGAGCTAATGAGGAAGACAGTACACCAGCATTAACTGCCAGTGCCTCTGGCAGATTTCTTTTGTATTAATTTTAATTTTGTTCCCATTGAGGCTTTTGCACAGGCACCCTCACAATAGCACCTTGCAGTAGTCTAATCCA